GCTGGTCCATGGAATGATATGAAGATGTGAGCGACTTAATGGGAGATTTAAATCCTAAACCTATTTATCAGACATAATTTGCATTGCAGAGTTTGCTGTTAGGGATAGATTTATTAATTGGTTCAGATTAGGGACTCCAGTCATGATAGTTGTTTGCTTCTCAAGTGAAAAGTAGCAGATCAGCTGGCCTAGGTCTTCTGGAGTCAAAGTCATACAGTACAGAAACAATCCCTTCAGTCCAACTGTTCCATGCTGACCAGGTTTCCTAAACTAAATTAGTCCGAATTGCTAACATTTGGCCCATATCCCTCTAAACCTCACTTATACATATACCTGTCCAACTAACTTATACAACAAAGTATTCCACTCTGCTAAGCATAGCAAGCCCTTTTCAAAAATCTAACAATCTTAAAAGAATTAAACACTTAGAGTTCAGTATGAGACATGGTGATTGGTTAGTTCAGCTGGCTGGATGCTGGTTTGCAATACAGAGTGATGCCAAAAGCATGGGCTGAATTCCCACCTAGGCTGAAGCTCCATTAAAGACTCTCCTTCTCAACTTCACCCCTCGCCTGAGGCATGGTGACCCTCAGATTAAACCACTACCAGTCATCTCTCTAATGAGTGCGCAGCTCTACGGTCTGCTTCTACCTTTTTACCTATTAGATACGAAATGCCTGAAAGCACCTGTAATTTTTTTAAAAGGCAGAATTTATCGTAAAGTATAGACTGCTCAAAATAGATAAACTGATGAATATGTTTACTTGTGCATCAAGTCAAAAAGATTTTTATAATTAAATGATACTTTGATGAAGGGACAGAAGATTTGGTTGCGAAATTGGTTGGTCACACAAAGGTGGGAAGACAAAGAATTGAAAACACGGTATAAGAGGCTACCAAGGGTATGGACAGGTTAAGTGACCAGGCAAAGATCTAACAAATTGAGCATAATGTGGGAAAGTGTGGATCTGCCCAGTTTGGTAGGAAGAATAAAAAAAAGCATATTATTAAAAAGATGGGAAACTGCAAAGGTCCAAGGTGCAGAGGGATGAGAATGTCCTAATGCACATATCGTAAAATGTTAGTGTACGGGTACAGCAAGAAATCAGGAAAGCTGACAGAATATTATTGTTTATTGCAAGGAGAATTAAACAGAAAAGTAGGGAGCTTATACTTAGCTATACAGGCACTGATGAGACAACATTTGGAATACTATGCGCAGTATCGGTCTCCATAATTAAGGATGGAATAAATGCATTGCAAGCAGTTCAAAGCAGCTTTCTAGATTAATGCTGGAATGGGCAGATATTCTTACGAAGCAAGGTTGGACAGTCAATGGTTAAATCCACTTGAGTTAAGAAGAGGGATTTTTTTGAAACAGAGAAGAATATTAAGGATCTTGACAGGGTGGAAGTGAAGAGGATGTGCCCTCTTTAGGGACAATCTGGAACTTGGGGCCATCATTCAAAAATAAGGGGTCACATATTTATGACACTGATAAGGAGAAAAACTGTATATTAAAAAAAAAGTGTTTTGACTCTTTGAAACTCTTTCTCAGAAGGTGGTGGAAGCAGAGTCTTTTTAAGCCTGACTCCTGATAAGGGGTGATGGAGAACTGGGGGCATGAGAGCTACAGGGGGTAGGTATGAATGTGGAGTTGAGGTTACAAACAACCTGAAGGGGTGGAGCAGACTTTAGGAGCCCAGTGACCCACACCTGTCCCTTCATATGAATTGGACAGAGGACAGTGACAACCACCTTTTTCCATATTCCACCCCACTTGTCCGAATAACTAACATCCCAAATACATCTAATTTGCATTCTCTCTAAGTTGGGTGGCCAATCAGCCACTGCAAGGTTCCATGCACGGTGACTGGCTGATGCTGCTCACAACACTGACTCCCCGTTCCAGAATTCACTGCTGTACACAGACCTTAGAGGTCCACAGACGAAAACAAAATTAAGGGGAATGCTGCATCTAATCGCTATTGAGGAAAGTATTGGTGTGAATTTCTCACCCACTAAAACCAGTCTGGTTATACTGACAAAGGCAGCATCAAGAAATAATGCCTAATTGCACCAACCTGTGCCAGCCTTTGCTGGTTTTCAGGATCACCTGGCTTTGCCATAGCTTTTCGAGCCTCTTCAATTAGATTACTGGATTTATCCATAACATCACCAGCGCATTCCAACATCGCGTTCTGGGCCTGTGGGTCAGTAGTATTGGCTGCAACGCCACGTGCAGCTGAGCCAAGGGCTTTTAAGGCTTGAGCTACTTCTCTTGAGGCCAATCCTGAAACAGAAGTTACAAAACAACTCACATATTTATCATCAATTTCATTTGACATTTGCTGCTTTCAAATTAGCCATGTCACCAGAAAGACCATTAATTTCTATATGAAAGCAAAGTTTGGCAGATGCTGAGGATTTGAAATATAAACAAAATGCTACAGAAACCCAGGAGTTCTGGCAGCATATAGTTAACACAGTGTCATATCAGACTCAAATGTAAACCTTGTTTCTGTCTCCACAGAAACGCCAAACCAGAGTTTCTTCAGCACTTTCTGCTTTTAAGTTCCATCTGAGTTCATTTAATACAAACAGACATTAGCACACAATATTTATTTTCTCCTTTTCAGTATTTGATTTGATTTATTGTAGTTACACGTACAATGAAAGGTTTTGCTTTGCGACCAGTACAGGCAGATCATAGCAAACAAGGACACAGATCATAGGGTGCTTAGACACAGCAAGGCTTACAATGTTACGGCTGCACAGGAGGTGCACAAAGCAAGATCAATATTAACAAGATCAACATTATTTGAAGTTAGAAAGGTCCATTCGGCAGTCTAATAACAGCAGAGAAAAGGCTGTTCTTGAACGTGTTAGCGCACGTGCTCAAGCTTCTGTATCTTCTGCCCAACAGAAGAGGTTGGAAGAAAGCATTACCAGGGTGGGAGGGATCTTTGATGATTTTGGCTGCCTTTCTGCAGCAACAAGAAGTGTAAATGGAGTGCATACATGGAAGGTTGGCTTCCGTGATGTTCTGGGCTGTGCACAAAAATTTTCCATAGTTTCTTACACTCCTGGGCAGAGCAGTTGCTATATCAGACCATTATGCACCTGGACAGTATGCTTTCAATGGTGCACCTGTAAAAGTTGATGAGAGTCCTCATGGACATGCCAAATTTCTTAAGCCACCTGAGGAAGAAGAGGCATTGTTGTGCCTTCTTGACCATTGCATCTACACGGGAGGTCCAGGACAGATTGCCAGTTATTGTCATTCCAAGCAACTTGACACACTTGACCCTCTCCACTTCAGCTCCATTGATGTTGGAAGGGACATGTCCTCCTCCTTTCTTCCTGAAGTACCTAAATCATTCTAGGGCCCACTAATGCACAAAAAGCCTTCTGACACTCAAAGCCATTCTTCATCAGCAAGTGTAGCATACTCAAACTGTGGGCTTTCACAGTCAAATTGAAGACTTGAAGAACTCAAATCTTGTAGTATCATAGGAAATAGGAGCAGAAGTACACTTTTTGGGCCCTCGACCCTGTTCAGCCATTCCATTATATCATGTTTTATTGGTTCATGCCTTGGAGTTCCACATTCCCACCTATCCTTTGTAACCGTAGACTCTGTCAGGCAAGGAATTCAATCGACTTCTGCCTTAAAAATATTTAGTGACCCCACCTCCGCTGGCTTCTGAGGGAGAGAATTCCAAATTCACACAACTCTCAGAAAAGAAAATCTGTTTGATAAGGGCGACTAATTTAAAAAACAGCTCCCCTTTATCTTTCACTTTAGTATTGACCACCTCATCCTGGTCCAGCAATGATTTTCTCCCTTGTCCCTCCCATCTTTCAGTACAGCTCTTTGACCAGGAACAGAAATCATTTCACGAATAACAATTTTATATTTTTCTCCGCCCTGGAATGAAGTCAGTTGAGGATTATTTTCCATCTCCTTTTCTCCCACCACTGTGCAAACTGCTGCCTTGGAAAAGATTAGATAAATCTTTGGCAGACTGGATTAAGGAAAGCCCCAAGGCATTTTATAAGAGCAAGAAGATTACCAGGGAAAGAGTGGAGCTTATTAGATAGCAAAGGGGCAATCTATGCCTGGAAAAAGAGGATGAGATCTTAATGAATACTTCTCACGTGCATTCACAAAGGAAGAAGACATTGCCGCTGGAGATTTCTGTTGGGATGGTGAGGTTCGAGAGATGTTAAGATTAATAAGGAGGAGGTATTAAATGTTTCAACAGGCATAAAGGTGCATTAAAAACCTAGAGACGTATCCCCAGCTGCTATGGGAGGCAAGAAAGGAAATTATTGGGTCTCTGGGGGAGACAGAATCACAGAATCCACAGTGCAGAAAGAGACCATTCGGCCCAGATTCTGCACCAACCTTCCGAAGTACATCCTTTCTAATACGTTGCTGGTCACAGGTGAAGTGCCAGATGTCTGGAGGATAGCTAATGTGGTGAGTTTGTTCAAGAAGGGCAGTAATTACAGACCAGTTAGGGTCATGTGATGGTAGGGTATTTACGGGAAAAAAAATTCCAACAGACAAGATTAATCAACACGTGGAAAGACAAGGATTGATCAAGGATAATCAGCATGGATTTGATGGAGGGGGATCTGTCAGACTAATTCAATTGAGTTTTTTGAAAAGGTGACTAAATATAATGAGAGTAGTGCAGTTGATGTGGGTTACATGTACTTCAGCAAGGCCTTTGACAAGGTCCCACATGGAAGGTTGGTTCGAAAGGTAAGAGCCCATAGGATCCAAAGCAAGTTGGCAAACTGAATACAAAATTGGCCAACAATAGGATGCAAAAGGTGATGGTGGAGGGTTGTTTTTGTGATTGGCAGCCTGTGACCAGCTGTGTATCACAGGGATCAGTGCTGGGACCTTTGCTGTTTGTCATGTACATTAAAAATGTGGATGTGAATGTAGAAGGTATAATTAGTAAGTTTGTAGGTGACACATAAATTAGAGGCGTTGATAGCAAGGAGGATGGTCTCAGGCGATAGTCTGATATTGAGCAGCTGGTAAATTGGGCACAGCAATGGCAGATAGAATTTAATCCTAGTAAATGTGAGGTGATGCATTTTGGGAGATCTAATCAGGGAAAGTATTGAAGAACAAAGTGAACAAGTCCATAAATTCCTGAAGGTGTCAGCAAAGGTAAATAGAGTGATATAGAAGGCATAGGGGATGCTTGCCTTTATTAGCTGAGAAGTAGAATATAGGAGCAGGAATCTTGTTGCAACTTTATAGAGCATTGGTTATGCCACAAAATAGAATACTATATCGAGCTCTAGTTGCCACAATATCGGAAGGACATGATTGCACTGAACAGGGTGCAGAAGAGATTCACCAGTATGTTGTCTGGGACGGCAAATCTCAGTTATGAGGAGAGACTGGGTTTCTTTTCCATGGAGCAGAGACGGCTGAGGAGGAATCTGATTGAGGTATACAAAATTATAAGAGGCATGGACAGGGTAGATTGAGAGAGCCTTTTTTTCCCCCATGGCAGATGTATCTAAGACCAGAGGGCATAAGTTTAAGGTGAAGAGCAAGTGGTTTACAGGGGATCGGAGGAAAATTTTTTTTCATCCATAAGGTGGTTGAAACATAGAACACGCTGCCTGAGAAGATGATGGGGTCAGGTACCCTCGCAACATTTAAGGAGTATCTAGATGAGTACCTAAAATGTCAGGGCATAGTAGGCTAATGACCAACTGCAGGTAAATGGGATTAATATAGCTTTAGTGTTTGGTGGTCAGCACAGACATGGTGGGCCAAAGGGCCTGTTTCTATGCTGTATGAATGTGACTATTCTTGGTCAGCATGGCTGACTAGCATGTGTTTATTCATTTAGCAGCATGTGCAGTTTTGCATAAAATGAACAAAAAAAAAATTACAACATGCGAACACCCCTTGATTTCACAGCTAATAGTTCAGTTAACTTCAGCCAGTCTTTAAGAGCCTCTTGTGCTTCCATAGTATACCTCTGAATATTGAAGTTTCCTGCAGCAGGATGAAGCAGGAAGATGTAATTAAACTGCTTTCCTGTCAAGCAAGTTTGGGCAGCTTTTTCCGGTTTATAAACAGGAAGCAAAGTAATCCTGGAAGTTCCACATATTGTTACAGCTGTTGGCAATATGCTAACATCGGTAGTTGCCATCATGAACGAATTTGGTTGAGTGGCTGAACATCTGTTTTACGAGAGGATGCACCAACCTAAAGGTCATTTTCTTGAGATGATCAATTGATAAAACTTCTCAATTTTTGTTCACCTTGACAAACAAGGCTTGCAGAAAGGAAGTGGAAGACCAGAGATGACATGTAATAAACATACGCTTAGCAGAGATTTACCCTCCAACTTCCTCCCACAGTTTGAATGACCAAGTAGGTAATAGTGCAGGATATCCCATTCTGTCAGAAATGAGAAGTTATAGATAACCAGGTGGCAAGATTTATTATGTTAAAACAGTTCTAAATAGAGATAGAGGCACACTGTACAAATGAATTTGGGAAGAGAAATTGACTAAAGTGCATATATTTATTCACTGGTACATTCCAAGCACCTGAGAAAATAAATTTTCATCTAGAACCCTAAATAAATGAAGCAGTCATATTAATAGAACCAAGTCACTGTTTTTTCCCCATATAGGATGTGACGCTGGTTACAGGGTTGGAGAGATCCTTGCATCACCTCTTTCCAGAGAAGGCCTTTGTGCTGCTATGACACTTGATAGGCCAAGGGTGATCCAGCTACTGGAAATCAAAGTCCACCAAAGAAGCCCCACCTACTAAGAGCTACTGACCAATCATAGGCTGATTACTCCTCTGTACTCAAAGTACAGAAGGCAGCGCCATTAGAAAGGCCATGGCTACTGCCAGTACTACATCCACTCAAGCACCCAGGCACCATTCAGGAATAGAGGTGAGGAGGTCAACAGCAAGGACAGTGGGGTGGATCTAAGCACAGGCTCTCCTCTACTTCATCAGGCACTGGATTTGCTCGACATGCTCCCCACATAACAAACCCCATTCTTGCTGCTATCCCTGCCTTAATCAGATGGAGGTGGGAAGGGGCAGGGATCCATGTGTCACCCTCCTACCTGATTAAATGCACTCCGGTCAAATTTACCGCAGAAGAGGCATAACATTCTGTCTAAAGGTACAACAAATGCTTTTGAAGACTTTTAAAAATACTACCGTTTGGAACCTTAGAAAATTAAAATGCTAAACCCTCGGCTGTACAGAGAAGAGGGACGGTTGTTAGGAAGGGTACAAAGTGAGGATATTCCATCCATGCTTAATCCTGCCTTTCATTAATGCTTGCGTGATTACATTTGCAGGAGGGAGGGAGGGGAGAGAGGGGAGGGGAGGGGGAGGTATTTCCCAGGTGGTAAAACAAGTTGGCATGATTGAAGCCAACAAAATTTGTTACCTTTAGTTTCAATTTTTTAAATGGTTTAAGTTTAAATATTCATTAAAATTTGAAGAAAACAGATCAGTCACAAGAAGAATGTTTTTCAACGTGTGTACATGACTCTTCCTGAATAATTGATGCGTTCAAATTCTTGAAATGAACAAAAACAAAGCACATACTGTAATCACCTCTCTTTAGCCACTGCCCTCCTCTCCCTCAGAAAAAGAAATCAGTTGAAAATAGTTTCTACTGAAGATCTAAAGAAAAGTTCTAAAATTATTACTCCATGGTTTCTTGGTTTGCAAAATTAGGAAAAACAAAAGCATATTATCATCCTATAAAAAAAATTCAGGGAAGCATGCTGTTGCATGTGTATTTCTTCACAGTGCATTATACAAATGGCAGTTCCTGAGTTTTGTAGAGCTTGGCGGGATACTCAAGCAGCTTCTGCCAACTGAATTCTAAGCCTGGGCAGCCAATCTACTCCAAGTCTGGTCTTTTGAGGGAGACTGAGGACCATATCAAAAAACATCCAAATGAGACACAAAGGAAACATTCATAGGTAAGTAATTGATATTATCATGAAATATGTAAATGGTTATAGGTATCAGGAATTTCATAGCAGTCAAAGTCTTTTGGGAAATAGATTTTTTGAATTTTATTTATGAGTACCTGTGCAAATCAGATGGAAGAAATTTGTAAAGGAGAAGTTGTGACTAACAGTTGGCGAGCACAACCTCACCTTCAACAGGCCAGGTGGGGCTTAACAAACTTAAAGCAGGTTTAATATGCTTGCAAGATCCTAGGATGACCTCATGCACAGAGCAATTCCAGGGCAACAATCATCTACTTTTCCTGCTGGGTGTGGCCATGCCCAAAGCCTGGCTGCAATTGCAGACTTAAAGCCAGGTTGAAAGAGGCTAAGACATCTTATCATAGCTAATCTCTTTGCTGTGTCTTTTGGCTGTGATTCTTGGTCTTCTTTTCTGTATTTAGGCCCTTTATCTTGCCTCACCCCTTCTTTATTTTACTTTTCAGCTCCTTCGCACTGATTTCTGTAGGTGCTGATCAGCAAAGGCTCGCTGTAAGAGAAAGACCTGCCCAGAGCTATAGTCAGTTCAACCTGAGTTCTCTTGAAGGTGCAATTGGCAAATGGAGGACTTAAAGACCTAAAAGCCACATTTTCAGGTTACAGTACCGAGCACTTAGAAAAGAGTAATTCTGGCAGAGTCTAGGTTGAGGGATCAGGGGTGTTTTGGGGCCTACAGAGGATAGCAATTAAGTGCAGTGGGAGGGAATTGAACCCAGAGGCATTATTTACACATATAAAATGACTACAATGATGAAGAGGACATGATTGTTCCAATGGAAGGAAACAATATGAAGGTAACACTGCAATGATGCACTGTAGCATTTATCTTGGCACCACAAATAAAATGCAGGTATTGGAGAGATTTAAACTTTATCAATTTAAGTGGCATCCAGATGCATTCTTTTACAAGGAAAAATATTTTATATGATGTATAATATTGTATTCTGTTACCTTAATTACACCGAGGACTAATGCTACAAAGTCTAATTGCTGACATTATGCATGATATAATTCAGTGTTACTACTATGCAGCGCATAGCTTAGAAAGCTAGCTTTGTCAGTCGAGATATTCTGACCGGTATTTCCTTCTCCACTTCTCAAGACTGAACAAGCCAAAATAATGAAAAATTTCAATAAAAGAATCACTAAAAATTACACACTATACATTAAAAATGATGTATATTCAAGTGTTTCATGTTTCTAAAATCCTGCTGGGGAAAAAAAAGTGGGCCAGATTTTAAAAAAAAAAGTCAATATTGGAAGGGTGAAAAGATCCTCTTCTAAGTTGGTAACTGGAATGACATTCTATATTTAGTTGCCAGCTCATTTAGAATCTTGTACACATTTATATATTTGAACTATGTCAGTAGTTTCTTGCAATATTCTATAATAATCCAACATACCAGTGTAATTCTCATTTCCTTGTGTGACTGCACTCAGTAGCTTAGCTACGGAAGCACCAACCATCTTGGTGCTACTGCCCAAATCCTGCGAACACTTTTCCAGCTGCCAACAGTAAATACAGAAAGTTATTTCTGGTTATAACTGTGTAAATAGGAGCAAGTTATTATCTAAGATAGTAGGAACTGCAGATGCTGGAAAATCTGAGATAACAAGGTGTAGAGCTGGATGAACACAGCAGGCTAAGCAGCATCATAGGAGCAGGAAGGCTGACGTTTCGGGCCACAAGTATGTTTGTCATAAGAGAACCTGAACATGCAGTATGGCAAGACTAAAAACAATCATTTAAGCATCATGGTAGTTGAAAAGTTAAATCAATGTATTTTTGATTTTAGTCAAACATATGATTCACTTTTATTTTCATCTTTCTGAAGTGCCTAACACTCACACCTGATTTACAATTTTCTAGCATGTCATTGACCACCATTTTTTGCACACAATATTACAAATTTTTTTCAACCCCCCACCACCCACCTCAATTGAAATGCACCTTCTTCAGACCGATTCAAGGTGGCAGCACACCACCACCCTCTCAAGGGCAACAAAGGTGACCTTGTTAGTAACATACACATCCCATGAAATAATTAAGTAAGTAAGTAAATAAATAAATACTCTCCTACAGGGATGTAATCATAAAAGATAACCAAGAGAGCTCAGGAAAAGGATGCTGCTCAAAGGTGAATGACAGAGGTAAAATTTAGTATATTCAAATTTCAGCAAGGCCCTCTTCTTTGGAAGCAATCAAAATATGAAAGCAAGAACCAATGGAAATATTGCAGAAATATAGCTATATCTACAGCAAACTGCACTCATTAACATTTATTTTCATTTATCAACTTAGTCTTGTTACCGTTTCTCCAGGCAGGGGTCTGAGCTTTCCTTCTGCTGCATTTGCTTTTGCTTCCTGCAGATCTTTCTCCAGTGTTCTGATCTGATTCAAGGAAGAGTCTATTTCCAGTGGACCACAGGCATCTTGTGCCTATATGGAGAAAAAGAGTTTTGCCAATGATAAAGTAATTTACTGTCATGTTATACATAGTCAGTCAATCATTATTCATCGATTTAAAAGAATATAAAAAGTCTTCCATCAAACTATATTAAGTATCTTGAAGACTCTGTCCATTTCATTTCATAATACTCTTCATGAAAACTAAACCTCCTGAAATGGCTCAAGCTCACTGGCATCTCTTTGACTTTAACATTTACTGGAGGTAACCTGCATACTAAGACAATAGATTTCTATTATTCAACTCAAGTATTTTAACCAAAATGACATGAAAAACAGGCAGAAAATTAAAGTAGAGAAAAAGTAAGGTATGCTCTGACACTAGAGGTTATTAAGCTTATTCACAACATGCTTCCTGTTTATTCCATGCATATTCATCATACACACACGTACATATATATACACACACAAACTAAGTAGTCATTTTTCCTTTCTATAGATTTTGTTTGACTCATTACCCTAAATTTTATAATGGAAGCAGAGCAGAATGTTCTCTACCACACAGAGAAGCTGATGAAGTCTACCCTCTTGTTGTTGTTAATTATAATCTTAACACTCACACAGATCATCAATATTTTACTCACCTTCTGTGCAGCTGCTCGCAGCTCTTGTAAAGTGTTTGCCAGGTTCTTAGCACATTGGCTCAGTTGCATGGCTGAGGCCTGGTCCCCAATTGTAGGAACTGTAGCTCGGGCAGCAGCAACCATTTTAGTTCCAGGCTGCAAGATAAGCAAGCAAGCAACAATGAAAAGCCGTATGTACAATTCTAATCATTTTAGAGAATGGGAAGAACAGTACAAAATAGTTTGCAAGAGAGAGAGATGAGAAATTACACCCATAAGGAAAGGATGTACATGCTATTGAAATGATAAAGCTGCTCTAATAGAGGGTTTTTAAAATGATGATAAGTTTGATAGAGTAAACAAAGAGCAACTGCTTCTATTTGTGAAGAAGAAATTACTCTACTCTGACAAAACAAATGTTCCACAGACTAGCTGGTCCTAATTGAACCGAGGAGTTGGACGTGGATCCTGGGAAACCTCTATTTTGATTTTACAATCTGTCAGTTGTAGCATACACAGTATTCACTGTCATATGACAATGATTATAGTTAACTATTTTAATCCTATTTTTGAGATGTTTTAGTTAGAAGCAGCAGGCAAGTAAAATATTGGAAAACTATGGCATGGGCTTTCATTTAGCAAATGTTTAAACAAAGTTTCCAAAGGGCAAACTTTAGAGAACTTACTCCTACTGCTATCTCTTTTGATCCCAAGAGTGCAAAAACACTCTGGATGTGAGACACTTACCACATATCAATTTGGTCAAATTTGAAAGAGCCAGACTAAAACAAAACAATAGCACTTTGGTTCCTAGACAAGGCAGCCCAGATCACCAGCTGATTAGCAATCACTAGATTCTACTTGTGCACCCTGGAGAACATCACAAGGAGATTGTGCTTCTAGCCAGGACACTATGGTAATGCTGTTACATCTTGATGCTACTGTACAGACATTAGAATGTCCTGTCTTTATTATTCTTAATAAAACATAACCACTGTCACCGAAAGGGCTTTTAAGAAAGCATAATAATAGCATAGTTAACGCAGCTCAGCAGTCACTTACCTTTATCAGTGAGGTTACAGTGGAGCTCAAAAGGACCTTGGTTAGGCCATAGTTGGGGTACTGTGTGCAATACTGATCACCGCTGTATAGAAAGGATGTGATTTCACTAGGTGTGTGCAAAGGAGATTCACAGGGATGTTGCCTGGGATGAAGCATATCAGTTACGAAGAGAGCTTGGATAAACCCGGGTTGGTTTCTTGGGCATGGAGGAGGTTGAGAGTGAATCTGATCGAGGTCTAAGAGATTATAAAGGGTATCAAAGGGTAGATAGAAAGCAGCTGTTCCCATTAGTTGAAGGATCGGTAATATGGGGACATAATTTTAGGGTAAAGCTGGACACTTAGAGGGGACTTGAGGTAAAGAGTTTTCATCCAGAGGTTGGTAGGGGTCAGGGTTGCATTGCATGGTAGTTGAAGTGGGTAACCTCACAATCTTTAAAAAAGTACCTGATGAGCGCTTGAAGTTTCTTAACATTCAAGGTTATGGGCCTAGTGTGGGAAAGTGGGACTAGTCTAGATTTAATATGTTTTTGGCAGTACAGATTTGATTACCTGAAGAGTCTCTTCTGTTTTGTATGATTCTAACAGATACCACCAAATATTTTCAGAATTTGAGAGTGAGGAATTGATACAAACTAATGCAGTCCAGATATTCCAGAAATAAAGAACATAAAAAATAGTGAGAGAGATAGAAAATACATCCTTTTCGTGTATTAGTTTCTATAGGAGATTCCTTTGCAATTCATGAACGTAAAATTCAAAGAGCTACCATAGCTTTACCTCTGTACAGTGGTCAGTACTAATGATCACACTTGTTTTGTGTAGCCTGACCTCCAAGATTGGTTCATATTTTACAAGAGCAGACTAGCTACTTTATATGGCCTAAAGGAAACAGTCAACACTTTCAAATTCATGATTCCCATCAAACAGCTGACATTTAAACTTGTCTCATAAACAGAACTAGGGTTTATATCCTTGCACCATCTGTGTTTGAAATCTATTCACATTACCTGGAGGAAGTTCTGGCTTGCACTTATTAGAGCCAGCTGGGCACTGGGGCTGTCCGGTTGTGACTGGCTGCCACGAACACCTTGTACCAGCAATGGAATCTGCTCAGCAACACTCTAAAGTACAAAACATTTCAAAAATAAATAAATAAATAAATAAATAAATCAATCAATCAAACAGCTTTAAACATGACATTTCAAAACTGCTGAATAAGGAACCGATCTCCACAATGTGTCTTTTACATGGAAAAACATCCTGAAGTCTTTCAGAAGTGAAATGAGAAACTAAAAATCTACAGTGATCCAAAAGATGATATCAGGCAGAAGACTAGAAGTGTTGTTGAAAAATTGGTTTTAAGGTGGTTTTAAAAGGAAAGGGAGATGGAGTAATTTAAGAAGGAATTCTACAACTTAGGATCTGGTTGGCCAAAGACATGGCCAACAATGCTGGGATGAAGGACCTCAGGAGATGGAGTGTTCTGTGTCTTTTAGGACTAGAGAAGACAGAGACATGAAACACTGAACGCGAGGGTGAAGATTATTAACTGGAGGAATTAAATGTTAGCAGTCAATGTAGGTCAGCAAATACAGGGTGGCGGATGAACAGGAGACAGAAGCAGCATCAAGAAAAGGTACAAATACAAATTTAATTTTCTGATGTTACTGCCAAAACCCAGGCCTCAGAATAGATCCTTGGGTGACTTCAGTGTTAATACACTGAGGCAGGAGTAAGGCTCTAGCTGCAATGCCATTATAGTAGAATCAAGCAAGCAGTTTCATTGTGCTCGATATGGAGAAGACATTGGAGGAAGACAGTTCAGTCAATTGAGTGGTTGGGGGAGAGCTACAGATAGTTAAAGGAGGATGATGAGGGACAAAATGTACAATAGTCAGACTCGTGCAAAATGCATTTAGTGATGCTCTTTCCAGCTGTTTTCAAACTGTGGAAGGGGTGAAAACAAGAGTCGTGGGAAAGGATAAGCACAGAATTGTAAAGACAACAAACACATTTATGTATCCTGTAGAATCTACATGTGCTCCATTGCATTATTTAAATGTTTATATAAAATAAGTACAATAATTATGCTAAATTCATTTCTGCTTGTAGAGAAGAAAAAAACTACAGGCTTTCAATACAAGATCATAATCAAGTAACTAAATAGGGAAATTAGAAGAAACCTCTTTATACAGAGACCAGTGAGTGTGTGGAACTCACTACCACGTTGAATGCTTCAAGGGGAATCAAGATGAGCAAATTTACATAGCACCGTCAAACTGCTAAAATGCTCTGAGATACTTCACAGAGACATTAGAAAAACAAAGAATATAGAGATAAAACAAAGACCTATGGATGCTGGAAATCTGAAACAAAAACAACAACTACGAGAGAAACTCAGCAGTTCTGGCACATTTGGAGAGACGGTAGTTAACACTTTGACTCCGGTGACCAGTTTTAAAGATGGGTCAGATTTTGAGGAGCACTTATTAGGCAAAGGTCATTAGGTCAGGTTTTGAGGAACACCTAATCAGGCAACATGTGATTTGTACTGTTGGGACAGTCTACACCTGAACCATGCTGGTGAGTCATATAACTTGGGCAATACAGAAGGGTTCAGCAAAATAGTGGGGGCAAGTGATCCTGTGTGGGAAGGTGTGATAAATTAAAGTGAAAGAATAAGGCAATACAGAAGGGTAGCAACAAAGATAATGATGATCAGATTCTATTGGGAAGGGACAGAGCATTCAACTTTAAAAATGCACCATCTCTCATAAGGCAGAATGTTGCAATTAAGCAGGGCACTCACAAAATCTCAAGGCAATCAAGCAGAGTCAAAATGAATCATGTTTGATGATTAGAGTTCTGTGAGAAAGAAACAATTACCATGGATAATCTGTAGGTATTAGTGTATTTGGATTTTCAAAAGGCACTTCATAACGTGTCAACAAAGATCAATACACAAAATAAGAGTTCACAGTGTAGGGAGTAACAATGAGGCACAGATAGAAGACTGGATTGCTAACAGGAAGTAGAAATAAATTTTAGGTGTGGACATGTTCTTACACTTCCTGTAACTTCCGACAAATGTAAGCAAGTTACCTTGTGTGTCCAACTGATAACCTTACATAACCAACAAAATTGCTAGAAAATTTCAGTAGGACTGACAGCATCTGTTCCTGTTCTGAGGAAGGGTCACCGGACCTGAAACGTTAACTCTGTTTTCTCCTCCACAGATGCTGCCAGACCTGCTGAGCTTTTCCAGCAACTTTGTTTTTGTTCCTGACAGCATCTGTGTTCCGAAGAAGAGTCACTGGACCCAGAACGTTAACTCTGCTTTCTCTCCATAGATGCTGCCAGACCTGCTGAGCTTTTCCAGCAATTTTTGTTTTTGTTTCTGGTTTCCAGTATTCACAGTCCTTTTTTTTTGGATAAAACTTATAGTAAAAATGTAAGGTTAACACAGACTAAGTTGTTCAAGAAATGCTACATAACTGTTTAATTTTCAAGAAGAGATGCAAAGGCATGGCGTCAATACGCTGTAAAAATATAAGTTCCAAAAATCATCTTCAGCTGGCTAGACTTTCCAGAAAAGTCTAGCACATACTATTGCTGCTAGGAATACCATCACACTTTCTCTGCAAACCTTAATGAGAATAAAGATATCTGCAATTAAGTAGGCAGCTTCCCCAGGGAAAGACTGGAGGGCCAAGACAGGAATAGTTCTTTCTTTTCTTTTCCAAATGTTGACTGCAAAAACATTTCGTCGTTATATTGGTCTTTAAAGTGATAAAAGTGTCCGTAGTCACTTTGCAGAATAACAAAGTAAAAAGAGATGCCAAATCACTGAAAGTAATATAAGTGCAGATAATGAAAAGCTTTGACCAAGAAGTAGCTTTTAGGGGCAACTTAAAGGAGAAACCTTTAACCTTTAAAAATATTCCTTTTGAAATTGATGGTAATTCTAAATCTCACCTTACAGCTTTGAACCATTTGTTGTTGTGCTGCTGGGTTCTTATTGGAAGAAGCTGCATTCTGAGCTGCAGCAATTGTTTGTGTTGCAGCTGCTGCAGCCTGTTTTGCTGCATTCTGAAAATATAAAAGGCACTGTAAATAAAATCACATTTAATGATCTATAATTCTCTACATCACCTTTAACCCCCTAATTTATTGCAAAACCAGGAGGTTAGCAATTAAACACAATGCTGGAACAAAGACTGACCCTGATTTTGGGAAAAATAATGCAAACTATCCAGCTGGATTTCAGAAATGCACTCAAGACAATCTCAATACATATATTCTTGGGATATGGGCTGGCAAGACTAATTTTTATCGCCAAGCACACTGTCCTTAGTAGATATCCACATGGAAAGTCATCACATGATAGGTTTAATTGGCACTTGTTACCGTTGAGGTGGTGGTGATAGAGTGCCTTCTTAAACATAATCCACGTTGTTCAGGTACTCTACAATCCTATTAATAAGGAGTTTCAGGAGTGCAACCCAGAGATGAAAGAACAAAATATGACCATGTCAGGATGACGCACAATTCAGAATTGATGCTGCTCATCAGAGGCAAAACTTACATTTGGAGGCATTGCCAAGGATCCTATGCAACTAGCTGAGATACATATAATTAATACTCTAAATTCCAGCATTTGTGGAAGGGGAGGAAATGATTTTTTAAGTTGGGAGCTGAACAGCCAATCACTATTGATGATTGGAAGTAGGCCAATTGTGGGTTAGTTCACCGAGTTGCATTTCTTCTTTTTGGGGGACAGAACAGAACAAAGTCAGAAATCGACCACATGCCAATATTGCAGTTATGCTGACGTAACTTGGCTAAAGACAGTAAGCTCAGAAACATAATCTCTATCCTTAGTTAGGATATTTCTGGGTCACATAGACTTTACTATACTCGGTGCATCCAGTCACTTCTTGATATCACATGCGGGAATTAAGAGATAAGGGGAAAATACAAGAATGTGGTGTTGAGGTCAGCAATGATCTCATTGAATAGTGGAGCAGATTTGATGGGATGAATGGTCTACTCATGCTTCTACAACTTATGGTCACTTAGCTGAAGACAGTCATCTATGGTGGTGGGGATCTCAGGACAAAGGTAGGAAGGGATTCCACTTGGAATCTCTGGTGAACAAAGCTTAAATTACCTCAGCTTTACTTTTTGTGCTCACATGCTGACCTCTACCACTATCAAGGTTGGGGATGTACACTTGACTTCCTCCACCTATTAAGTGTTTAAATGTCCACCACGATTTGCAACTGGATGTGACAACACAGCAGAGCTTTGACATAATCCACTTAATGTAGGACAATCTAATCATCTGTATGATGCTGCTTAAACTACTTGCCAAGCATGACATTCTGGGTTCTAACTTCAACAGATTGCTAAGTTTTATGTCCACCTCCCAGCACGATCTTCAACTTTGGGTCTGTCTAGTTTGATGCTAATGGCCATGAGGGGATTATATGAGGCTTTCTAATTGACGATATTGCTTCAAAAATAATATGGGAGTTTAGTAGAGATAACAAGGTGTAGAGCTGGATGAACACAGCAGGCCAAGCAGCATCAGAGGAGCAGGAAGGCTGACATTTCAGGCCTAGACCCTTCTTCAGAAATGGGAGAGGGGAAGGGAGTTCTGAAATAAATAGGGAAAGAGGGGGAGGCGGATAGAAGATGGATAGAGAAGACAGGTGGAGAGGAGACAGACAGGTCAAAGAGGCAGGGATGGAGCCAGTAAAGGTGAGTGTCAGTGGGGAGTTAGGGAGGAGATAGGTCAGTCCAGGGAGGACGTACAGGTCAAGGGTTCGGGATGAGGTTAGTAGATAGGAGATGGGGGTGGGGCTTGAGGTGGGAGGAAGGACAGGTTAGGGGGGCGGGGACAAGCTGGACTGGTTTTGGGATGCGGTAGGGGGAGGGGAGATTTTGAAACTTGTGAAGTCCACATTGATACCATTGGGCTGCAGGGTTCCCAAGCGGAATATGAGGTGCTGTTCCTGCAACCTTCAGGTGGCATCGTTGTGGCACTGCAGGAGGCCCAGGATAGACATGTCGTCTGAGGAATGGGAGGGGGAGTTGAGGTGGTTCGCGACGGGGAGGTGCAGTTGTTTAGTGTGAACCGAGCGTAGGTGTTCCACAAAGCAGTCCCCAAGCCTCCGCTTGGTTTCCCTGATGTAGAGGAGGCCACAACGGGAACAGTGGATACAGTATACCACATCAGCAGATGTGCAGGTGAGCATCTGCTTGATATGGAAAGTCTTCTTGGGGCTTGGGATGGGGGTGAGGGGGTGGGGGGGGGTGCGGTGGGGAAGGGGTAGGGGCAGGGGCAGCGCTTCATGCGGTGGCAGGGAAAAAAAAGTGCCGGGTGTGGTGGGGCTGGAGGAGATTGTGGAGCAGACAAGGGATTCCTGGAGAGACTGGTCCCTCCGGAAAGCAGGTAAGGGTGGGGAGGTCGGATTGCAGATGGCGAATTGTCGAAAGATGATGAGTTGGATCCGGAGGTTGGTGGGGTGGTACGTGAGGACGAGGGGTAGATTTGTACTCTGTTTAAGTAGGAGAAATCTGGCTTATAAACAACAGTGCTAAGCTTAAATATGGTTAAGGTCAAAAGAACAAGGCCAACAGAATGAGGCTGGAGTGAATTGGGAAACGACTTTCGAGCAAAGATGATTGAGGAACAACTACAGACATTTAAGAAAATAGTTCATGTCTCACTGCAAAGATATATACACTGAGGAAGGAGGATTCTAGGAAGGGGATAAGCCAGTCGTGGATAACTGGGGAAGTTAAGAGTAGCATCAATTAAAATTTTAAAAAAATACAGTGTGGTATACACTTGCGGTAGGCCTGAAGATTGGGCAAATTTTAAAAACCAACCAAAAAATAATAGAGGGGAGGAAATAAACTTTTAAGGTATACTTGCAAATAATATCAAGATGGACATCAAGAATTTCTTTAAGTATGTGAAAAAGAAGAGAGAAGCTGCAGTAATCGTAGAGAGTAAAATTAGAGTGGGAAAGTAATAATGGGGAAGCAGAAAATGGTAAAGGAGTTGAATGAATACTTTGCATCAGTCTTCACAACAGAAGACACCAATATCATTGCAAAATTACTGAATACTCAAGGGACAAAAGGATTAGAGGAATGAAACAATAACTATCACTAGGAAAAAAGCACTAAGGAAACTAATGAGGCTAAAAATTAGTAAACACCCTGGACCTGATGGGATGAATCCTAGGATATTAAAGGAACTAGCTACAGAGATAGTGGATACGCTGGTAGTTATCTCGCAGGAATCCTTTGATTCTGGAAAAGTCTCAGGAGATGGGTAAACTGCCAATGTAATACCTGTATTTAAAAAAGGAAGGTGGTCAACAAACCGGCAGCTACTGTAATTGGGAAAATATTAGAGTCTCATATACAAGACGTAACAGCACAGCATTTAGAAATACATAAAATGATTGAGCAGGGTCATAACTCCACGAAAAGGAAATCATGCCTGACAATTTTATTAGGTTGCTTTAAGCAGGATAGATACAGGGGCAGTAATGTATTCTATTTGGATTTTCAGAAGGTTTTTGATAAGATACCATGCATTAAGCTACTTAAGATAAGATCCCATGGTGTTGGAGGTAGTATTTTAGCATGGAAAGAGGATTGGATAGCAAATACAAGACAGAGTTTGGATAAGTGGGCATTTTCAGGATGGCAACCTGTAACAACCTATGGAGTGTCACAGGATAATTGATGAAGCCACCATTATTTACAATAATGTTAATGACTTGGGTGAGGAAAATGAATCAACGAGAGCCAAGTGGTGAGGATGACAATCTGCAGAAGGATATTAACAGTCAAGCCAGTAGGCAAAAAACTTTGCAGATGGAATATAAAAAGTGGGGAAATGTGAGGTTATGCACTTTGGCAGAAAGAATAGAGGAGACAAAAACAATGGAACAGTGGGATATGGGAGTCCTCATTCATTAATCACAAAAAGCAAGCATCCGTGTTCAACAGAAAATAGGGATGACAAATGGAATGTTGGCCTTTAGTTCAAAGGGAATAGAGTATAAAAGAAGGGAAGTTTTGCTAAATCTATCCAAGGCACCAGTCAGACCACAACTGGAATATTATGGATAGTTTTGGGGGCCTTATCTAAGGAAAGATACACAGGCACTGGAGGCACTTCAGGGAAATTTCACTACATAGAAGCTAGGTGTGGAGGGAGTATCTTATGAGGCGAATTTGAATAGCTTTGGACCTGTACTCATTGGAAGAATGGGAAACAAATTTTTCGAAACAAACATTCTTAGGGTACTTGACATAGAAAAGTTGTTTCCCCTTAGGCCAGAGGGCATAATCTCAGAATAAGTGGTCGCACATTTAAGACAGAGATAAGTTTGTTAGATTGTTTTAAGGAGGTAAGAATCAGGATAGATAAAAGGGCAGCACCAAAAAGAAATATTACAGGGAGTACTAATCTGGACTCTATCTTGAGGTCTCCAACAGGCCGTTTGCACATAACTGTTGTAACGATCCCAAGCCAGGTTGCAAATTTTATGCTGCAATCTGGCTAGAGAGCAGTGACATCAAAATGAGGGGTCCAGGGGACTTAAGTGAACAAAGCCTCAAGATTCCATGAGTTTGAACAACCCATAAACTTTACAGTCCCATAGCATACATCAAATAGCAAGCATGATCAAGACAGATCATATGGACTTTTCAGCAACTTCCTCCAGAAGTTAATGATATAATGGGTCATCTACACATTAAATTTCACAAGGATTAAAATGCTTCAGTTTTGCTGATCCAGCTGTCAATTTCACCAGACAACTTGTCTTCCCGATTTACATTCAACTAGTCTAGAAAACAACTCCTGCACTTAATAATAGGCACAAGTCCAGATTTTTACTGACTGCTAGCTTCATCAAGCTAAAACTATCTGAGCTTTTACTTGCATTATAATTTGCTCAGTTGCATCAGAAAATACCATCTGCAGCTTTTTCAACCCCATTTTCAGCTGTACTTGTGGCACTCAGCTTCATCTGAGCCCCAATTGGGTTCAGGACCTTGCTGGAGACCTGACTCCAAAGCTTTGCTACATACTAACTCCCAAAATAATCACATTCTAATAGCACAAGAGAACAAGAGAGAGATATCCAATTGCTTGCGTTATCACTATGTTTGGTACACAGAATCCATGTGCCTCTGTTGCCTTCCCAACAGTACAAGTAAAAGCAGTTCTATGAAACAGAACCAACTTCTCTCCCTCATTTACACACACTTTCCCAGCTCCTCTTCAGTGACCCTTGATGTGCCGAGTCATCTGTTGAAAACACAAACTAGCTCCACCCTTAATTACATGCAATTCTGCTTGGAAATAATACAACAAATCAGCTAGATTCGACAACTCCTTAGAACTTAGTGTCCCCCTGAAAATTACATTCTTACAGAATGCTGGCTTGCGGGATACAAAAATGCTTATAAAATGAAGGCATCATCACATTATAACTACCTGTAATCATCTGTTGTTTTGGCATTAGGACATGATAAACCCAGAGAAGGTAATGAGAAGTTGGCTGATTTTCCTAGGTCATGCTAGTACGTGATTACTCTGCTTAATAGTTCTCGCAATTTTGATGGTCTCCAGATTTTGTTAAGAAGGACTTAGCAGGGTCATAATCCTCAGTTGCAGCCAAACGTCCTATCCAGTTTTATTCTTCCTGTTCTTTGTTGTGGTGATGCAACTCTGACTCACTACGCCACAGAAGGCAGTTTAGAGTCAACCACATTGGTTGTTAACTTTTGCATGACGTATCTAATTCAAGTAGCTATTCTTTATTTGTAAGCCTAAACAATGGAAGAGCATTGTAGATTACTCTACCTAGTTTGACCACATTTTCTGTAAAGCTGATATCTACACTGAAGACTAGAAATATAATTTACACTGGATTTTCACTTCACTTAGATGAGGGACACTAAACTAACTAACTGTCAGTGATGGTTGAAATCAGGTATTTAAGCACATTGTAAAATCAAGACCATTCAGAACAATGCGCCCCAGTATCACTGTTCATAGTGCAGAGGAACTTAGTCACTTTTGCAATAGGCAAGACAATCAAGTTTGCACTGATACAAAGTCTAATTACTGACCTGTTTAAATTTAACAACTCGTTTAACTCACTGTTGTAAGGCCACTGTATTCTTTACCCACCTCTAGTTTGTTCATTAATTTCTTCTTTATGGCATTCTGTGCTGCCACATTGGTGGCCATTCGTAAACCTTCAGCTGCTTCTCTTAACCTTTGCTGCTGCTCCTCACTGTCAGGATTGGCTGCTGCACCCTTAAACCATAACAATCAAAAGAGATTAATCCAGTGACACAGGATTTAGAACATTTACCTGAATGTAAAATCAGAGCTGAATTAACGTATATGTGTAGTGGCATACAATGCCATCTTACTGATTACAGTCTAAACAAGCATCAAAAGATTAAAAAAATTCAAATGGTGAAAATCTAAAAATATGCACCAAATGAGCACATAAATGAGAATTGAGTAAAGTCTTTCTCTTCCAAATTGATCCATCTTTTTATTTTCCAACTCTTAAGAACATGTTAATGTGTGGTATTTTCTGTCTCTGAATTAAAACCTATTGTGGAGTAGCTTTGGATTGAGAGCTGTACTTCAATTGTTTAAAGCAGTTCTTTTACACACAATGTGATCTTCATGAATGGGGAGGAGAAAAGTAGAATTCCAGCACACAAAAGCTGATGTAAATTCTTGTGAGAGATAGTAAGAACTGGTGATGCTGGAGTCAGAGATAACACAGTGTGGAGCTGGATGAACACAGCAGGCCTGACAGCATCAGAGGAGCAGGAAAGCTGGCATTTTGGGTCGGGACCCTTTGTTCCTCCAGCTCCACACGGTGTTACGTAAATTCTTATAGTTTTTTTTGGATTATCTTTTTTCTCCCCTCAAGTTCTGTGCCCCAAATGAGTTCTTAGTCTCTGCAATTAAGGGACCCTCATTGCACAGTGGTAACCTCACTACCCATGGACCAGGAGGCTCGGATTCAAGATCCACTTGCTCCAGAGTTGTGTAATAATATCTCTAATTAGGTCGATTAGAAAAAAAAATAGGTTGAATAACTTGTCTCTCGCCACCCCACCACACCCACACACCCAACCAAACACACAGTATACCATGAGCTGCCCAGTTTCATAATTTGTTGCAAACAGTGTTCAGTAGGAGAGTTTACTTTGCCAGATATATCAGGGGTTACAATAAATGAGAGCAGTAATGATGCACTGCAGATTTATTGCTCTTAAAAAGTTTAACTGCTCCTCCTCCAAGTGTATGAAAATACTTGTGCTAAATTTCAGTAATTTGGGCCTTATATTTGGACAATGTCCATGGCTATGAACCTTTGCAGTTGTATAATAAAACTGCTGGAGAAAATCAGCTGGTCTGGCAACCTCAGAACAGAAGGACAGTCAGGTCCAGTGACCCTGCATTACAACAGTGATTGGCAGCTGACTTCAATATAAACACTTATCTCACATTGTGATAAAGCTGCCAATCAAATAAATACTTAAACACACAACATAGCAACATTTTAACGACCAGATTTGGCTTCTCCCTGGAACCACTGTATTTTAAGATGACTGGCCAATTTTGTGCAAGGGCATATAATTTTAAATTGTGTAGGTAATTTCAAAGAAAAAAAGACATCACAAAAATAATTACCTTGATAAATTACATGTTCAATGCAGACTCACTTTCTGAGAAGTTGGGATATGTGCACATATAGAAAGTCCTCAAAATACAAAGGGCTCAGAAAATCTTAGCATTACCTTTGCAGCTTCCACCATTTTAGCTGTTGCATCAGCCAACAGTTTGGCTGCAGAGAGCAGCTTTCTGGAATTCTCAAGATCAGATTCACCTTCAGCATCAGCTTTAATAGCATTCACCAAGTCAGATGTAGCCTGGGCCAGAATTCGAGCTTGTCGCACCATCTCACCTATTTTTGGAAGGAGGGAGATCATGTTTAATATTCAGTCAAGATCAGTTGTATTCTCATCACCATGTACACACCTTGGCTTAGTGGTATCATTCTCATTGTGAACTCAGATATCACTGTCAGTAGAAGTGGCTACTGCACAATCCTTGTGAAAATGAGGTCCCATCTTCACATTGAGGATACCTACATTCATACCGGGTGGCATAAACACAGCACTAAAGGAGAAAGTCTTAAATTTAGTAACTTAAAACTGGTCTGCCATGAGACGCTCTGGACCATCAGCAGCAGAATTGCATTCAACCATAATCTGTAACCTCGTTGTCCAGCAAATTCCCCACTCTATCAACACTAGCAAGCCAGGAAATCAGCCCTGGTTCAATGAGAGTGCAGGATGGCAAGTCAGGAGCAGCAGCAGGCACACCTAAAAATGTGGTGTCAACCAGATGAAATTACAACATGGGACTATTATAGTGCCAAACAGCAGAAGCAACGTACTATAGACAGGGCTGAGCAATTCCACAACCAAGACATCATACCTAAGCTTTGCAGTCTTGCCACAGATTGTCATGAATGGAGCAGGATAATTCACAATGACCATGAGAAGATGGCTCCACAAATATTCCCACTGTCAATAATGAGGGAGACTAATATATCAATGCTGAAGTATTTTCATTCATCTTTGGCCAGAAATGCAGAGCGAATGATCCATCTCAGCCTCCTCTTGAGGTCTCCAGCATCATAAATGCCTGGCCCTTTCTTAAAGAACAGCATCACACTTGCATACCTCTACTCCCTGGGGACTAACTCTCTGCTCAGAAAGGCCTAAAAAGTTTCTGTGGCTTCACGGTTTGCTCCCTTACCCCCATCAGCAATCTAACATGCATCTTTGGACAGACAAAGCTTACACCTGCTGGAGCTAACAGCAAGGCAACTTCATTGAAATGTACTGGATCCTGATGGGCCCTGAAAGGATGGATGTGGGAAGAATGCTTTCTCCTGTGGGAGGATGTAGAACCAGGGGTCACTGTTTAAAAATAAGGGGTCACCCATTTAAGACAGAAATGAGAAGAAATTATTTCTGAGGGTCATGAGCCTTTGGAAACCTCTGCCTCAAATGGCGGTGGAAATAGAATCATGGAATATTTTAAAGGCAGAGGTAAACAAATTCTTGATAAGCCATACCCTGGAGCAACTCAAGGGGTGTTTGGCCTGCTCCTGCTTACATGTCCACATCTAAAACTGTAAATAGCTTCAGACTAGGAAGGTCGTAGATTGAATCCTTAAATTTACAGGGTGCTAGCCAAACTAGTTGGGAGTATTATTAATGACTCTCAACTTGCCTTAGCAACTGAAGGTTGGGCAGACAGAGGGAAAAATATTTCGCCTCGGGAACCTACAGCCCGATGGCCTAAACATGGAATTCACCAGTTTTAAAATCTCCCCACCCCCAGCGTCATCCCATGTCCAATCTTCCATCTCAGCCCCACCTCCTTGACCTATGACCCAATGGCCACGTACTAATTACTATGCATCCACCCATCACGAAACAGTGCATGCTGTATTGCTAAATTGAGCTACTCATTCTGAGCCCAGGCTAACACATCAAGAATGGCAAATGAACAAGGTTACCATGCATGGAATCATATCCAGGAATGACTCAACACCTTCACAGCAAGTGGCAGAAGATTAACAATTAGAAATGCAAATAAATTGCGACATCTAAAACTCAGAATTACTTCGCTGAAACTAACAGAAGATTTGGATAACTATCAAATTGAATCATTTTTAGAAATCTTAAAGATAACATTGCCTTTATCTATCAGACTCATTTCATGTTTAATAATCGTAGATTTTCCTCATTTCACATTAACATATATTGTAGCTGGGTTGTTCAAAAAAAGTTTCTTTACCAGCATCCCCCATGGAGCTGAAAATGTTTTCTGTCACTGTTAGAATAGTGTCTGTCGCCTGATCATAGCGTCCTAGTGGGTGTCCTCCTTGGGCATAGAGCTTGATATGTTGCAGCAGGTCATTCAGTGCTTGGGTCACAGCAGTGGCTGCCACACCGACTTGTTTCAGCAGCTGCTCATCATTTGTTGCAGCCTGTGAGGCCTCCACACATCCCTCCACTGATTTGGCAACTAGTTTCCCAGCTTCAATCAGCTGCTCCTGGCATACAGGGGAACTGATAGTTGGAGCTACTACCTGTAAAGAGTGAACATTGAAAATTTAACCAGGTAATTGATCCGACAACATTTAGGTGAATCTGATTTAACAAACACAATTTTGTATTAATAAAACCAACTAAGTCCTCTATTTCTGCAATAACATTTATTTCAAGTATCTGAACAGATCAGAGATAGCAATCTGACCCCACAACCAAAGAGATATTTCCCTCCAGACCCCTATCTGCCTTTCGTAGGGACTGCTCTCTCCGCGACTCCCTCGTCCACTCCACACTCCCCACTAACCCTTCCATACCCAGCCCCATTCCCTGCAACCACAGAAAGTGCTACACCTCCCCCCGCATCACCTCCATTCAATGCCCAAAACAAACCTTTCATATCAGACAGGCGTTCACCTTTACATCCACCAACTTAGCCTACTGCTTTTGATATGGCCTCCTCCACAAATCGGTGAGGCCAAACGTAGACTTGGACTATGTTCCGATGAGCATCTGCACCCTGTACACAACAAATGACAACACCTTCCAGTCGCCAACCATTTTATCTTCCCCCTCCCACTCTCTGGATGACATGTCCATCCTGGGCCTCCTCCAGTGTCTCAACGAACCCACCCGCAAACTGGAGGAGCAACATCTCATATTCTGCCTCGGGAGCCTAAAGCCCGATGGCCTAAACATGGAATTCACCAGTTTTAAAATCTCCCCACCCCCAGCCTCATCCCATTCCCTCTCAGCCCCACCTCCTTGGCCTGACACAACCAGTCCATCTTCTCTCCCCACCTATCCTCCCCACCCACTCCACTGACCAATCCCCACCACCCCCTCCCTGCAATATTACCATTGCACCTACCTTCACCAGCCCCACCCCTCCTCTCTATTTATTTCCCAGATCCCCTCCCCCTCCCCAATTTCTGGACAGTCCTGACCCGAAAAATCAACTTTCCTGCTCCTCTGATGCGGCCTGGCCTGCTGTGTTCCTCCAGCTCCACACTGTGTCGTATCAGAACAGATCATGCTAGCCAGAACTAATTACAATGGCACCATTCTGCCACAGAATTTAGATAATTAAAACTCAAACTAAGATGAGCTGAAGTTGTGAAGATTTAAATAAAATGCTGCAAACATTGTTCGGAACCAATAATGCTTGAAACCCACCTTAGTGCAAGCTACTAGCTGTGACGTTGAAAGTGCACACTGTGTCGCCGCTGCAATGACACGGTTCTGTAATCCCAAATCCTCTGCTTTTTGAGCGACATTCTTTGCCTTCAGGACCAAAGCTGCTGCTGCATTTGCTACAGCTTTGGCCAATTGCATAAGCATGTCCTATAAATGATCAGGAAAGGGAAAGTCACGGCATGTACTATTGCTTGCTATTTTTGAGGCAATTACGCTGCCAATATTCCAAATATTGAAAAGAACTGTTTAGTTCTCATACCAATTGACTATGTTTGCTCTACTTTGACTTCAGACGACCTTACATAATAAATCAGGATAAGTTGATAATACAAATGCATTCTGTATAAAACATTTGTAGTCAATTTTATACAGTTCTCCCCTCACCCCAATAACTTAAGCTATAGACACAATTTAAAGGCAGGATAAAATTATAACGAGTCCATGATAAGAGCATTAAAAAAGGATTGAAGCAATGCAATTAAAAATAATCAAATAGGAATGTATTAATTTGTCACAAATTTGAGCTAATAGTCACTTTGCACTTATCCCAACATGCACTGCGATTAGTTGATCACCGCAGCAGTGATTTTGATTTTGATTGCTGGTGCTGCTAATGCATCAAACCGACTTGGTTCATTTGATACGAATGAAACTAATTAGTCCGGCTTTAGAAATTAAGACATTTTCTGTTCTAGGCATTCCAAGTGCTCCTAAATTCTAGACTCAAGAGGGATGGCACGGTGGCACAGTGGTTAGCACTGCTGCCTCAAAGCGCCAGGGACCCGGGTTCAATTCCATCCTCAGGCGACTGTCTGTGTGGAGTTTGCAGATTCGTCCCGGGTGCTCCGGTTTCCTTCCACAAGTCCAAAGATGTGCAGGCTAGGTGGATTGGCCAAGCTAAATTGCCCGTAGTGTTCAGGGATGTGTAGATTAGGTGGGTTATAGGGGGATGGGTTTGGGCGGGTGCTCCAAGGGTTGATATGGAATTGTTGGGCCGAAGGTCCTGTTCCCACACTGTAGGGATTCTATGATTCTATGATCATTACAACATTCAAATCTTTGAAGTGTCTTTAATGAATGCTGATTGAGAAGAAATTTTGGGACACAACTTGCTGGAAAAATAATAGCTTGTGAATAACTCTTATTTATACACAAATCAGCCAGCAAGCTCAAATAATTAATTAATAACTCTGCGGAAGGATCAGCGGACCCCAAACATTAATTGATTTTTCTTCACAGATGCTGCCAAACCAGCTGAGCTTTTCCAGCAACTTTTGTTTTTGTTTCAAATACTTAAGAGCTAGGGAAGTTATGAATTATTAAAACTTACACAATGTTTTAGGCTGCTCTGTTGTTTGCATCACCTGAAAAAAATCTTGTCCACAAGTCTTTTTCTCTCTCTATTTTACCTAGAGTTATAGAGCTGTAGAGCATGGGAACAGATCTTTCTGTCCAACTCATCATGCCAACCAGATATCCTAAATTAATCTAGTCCAAGTTTCCAGCATTTGACCAATAGCCCTCTAAACGCTTCATATTCATATACCTACCCAGATGCCTTTTAAATGTTGTAATTGTACCAGCCTCCACCACTTCCTCTAGCAGCTCATTCCATGCATGCACCACTCAGAGAAAAGGTTGCCCCTTCGGTCCCTTTTAAATCTTTCCCCTCTCACCTTAAACCTGTGCCCCCTATCCCGGGGAAAAGACCTTGGTTATTCACCCTATCCATGTCCCTCATGATTTTATAAACCTCTATAAGGTCACCCCTCAACCTTCGACGCTTCAGAGAAAATAGCCCCAGCGTATTCAGCCTCTTCCTATAGCTCACACTGTCCAGCTCTGGCAACATCCTTGTAAATCTTTTCTGAACCCTCTCAAGTTTCACAATATCCTTCCTATAGCAGGGAGACTAGAATTGAACGTAGCATTCCAAAAGTGGCCTCACCAATGTTCTGTTGAGTCACAACATGACCTCCCAACTCCTATTCTCAAGGCACTGACCAATAAAGGCAAGCATATCAAACACCTTCTTCTTGTCCACCTGCAACTCTACTTTCAAGGAACTAAGGAACTATACTCCAAGGTCTATTTGTTCAGCAACCCTCCCCAGGATCTTACCATTAAGTGTATAAGTCCTGCCCTGATTTGTTTTTCCAAGATGCAGCACCTCACATTTATCTAAATTAAATTCCATCTGCCACTCCTTGGGCCACCGTCCCATCTGATCATGGTCCTGTTGTACTGAGTCTTGGCTATCCGCTAAACCACCAATTTTGGTGACATCGCAAGCTTACTAACCACACTTCCTATGTTCACATCCAAATCATTTATATAAATGATAAAAAGCAGTGGACCCAGCACTGATCCTTGTGGCCCACCACTGGTCTCAGGCCTCCAGTCTGAAAAGCAATCCTCAATCATCACCATCCTGTCTCCTACCTTCGAGCCAGTTCTGTATCCAATTGGCTAGTTCTCCCTATATTCCATGTGATCTAACCTTGCTAACCAGCCTACTGTGAGGAACATTGTTGAACGCCTTACTGAAGTCCATATAGATCACATCCACAGCTCTGCCCTCTATCAATCCTCGGTTACTTCTTCAAAAAACTCAATCAAGTTAGTGAGATATGACTTCCGATGCACAAAGCCATGGTGACTTTCCTTAATTAGTCCTTGCCTTTCCAAATACACAAATCCTGTCGCTCAGGATCCCCTCCAACAACTAGCCCACCACTAACGTTAGGCTCACGGATCTATAGTTCCCTAGCTTTTCCTTAGCACCTGACTTAAATAGTGGCACCATGTTAGCCAAGCTCCAGTCTTCCGGCACCTTAACTGTGGCTATCGATGAAACAAATATCTCAGCAAGGGGCCCAGCAATCACTGCCCTAGCTTCCCATGAAGTTCTAGGATACACTTCATACAATCCCTAGAGTGGGAGCAGGCCATTCGACCCATCTAGTCCACACCTACCCTCTCCTTGTAATCCCACACTTCCAATGGCAAATCATCCTAACTTACGCATCCATAGACACTATGGCCAATCCACCGAACCTGCACATCTTTGGTCTGTGGGAGGAAACCAGAGCACCCGGAGGTAATATATACAGACACGGAGAATGTGAAAACTCCACAGTCACCCGAGCGTGGAATCGAACCTGGGTCCCTGGTGCTGTGAAGCAGAGGCGCTAACCACTGAGCCATCATGCCACCCTGATCAGGTCAGGGGATCTATTCACCTTTATGTGTTATAAGATGTCCAGCACTTCCTCCTTTGCAATATGGCCATTTTTCAAGAAGACGTTATTTATTTCCCCAAGTTCTCTCACTTCCATATCCTTTTTCACAGTAAACACTGATGCAAAATACTCATTTAGTGTCTTCTCCATCTCCTGCAGTTCCACACACAGGTGGCCTCCTGATCTTTAAGTGACCCTTTTCTCTCCCTAGTTACCCCTTTGTCCTTAATATATTTGTAGAATCCCTTTGGATTCTCCTTAACCCTGTTTGCCAAACCTATATCATGTCCTCCTTTTGCCCTCCTGATTTCGCTCTTAATACTTCTACTGCCTTTATACTCTAGGGATTCACTTGTTCCCTGTTGTCTATACTTGACATATGCTTCCTTCTTTTTCTTGAAGAAAACCTCAATTTCTCTCGTCATCCAGCATTCCCGACATCCTACCAGCCTTGCCCTTCACCCTGATGGGAAAAATATTATCTCTGGACTCTAGTTCTCATTTCTGAAGGCTTCCTACTTCCCAGAAATTCCTTTGTCTGTGAATATCTGCCCTCAATTAACTTTTGAAAGTTCTTGCCTAATACCATCAAAACAATACCATCCTTTATCCATACCAGTATGCCTCTAACATCAGGGGCTCTTATTTCCTTTCACAGCCTACCATGCAGCGCCTTGGCGAATCTCTTTGATTAAGGAAACACAGTTTTACCCTTATCACATTGTTATCAATATTTCAAACTGATCAGCTACAGTGGAAACATTTTCTTGACTGAAGACTGCAAGGAAAATAGCATAGCTTGGGAGAATCACCACTACTACAAGGTCCTGCCCATAGTGTAATTACAATCCTACAGAATGCAAGTTATTGTTTTCGTACTCTCCATGCCAACATGTCTCAATAACAGCAGTCTTTACATATGGCATTTGCACCTGTAAAATGACGTACCTTGCTAAGTGAGTTCGATTCACTGAAGAATTCTGTCAAATTAGCATTGCCAAACAATGTTATTTTACCAGAGCTACTCCAGTTTCAAACAATGCAGATGGAATATTTGCAAAGCAGTTTTATTTCACATTTGAGAGGAAAATGCAATCCAATTTCCATTTGAATCAGTTAGTATAATTTGAGATTTAATGTTATTGACAATTTTGATTATATATTTAGACAAAAATTGCAGCAAATTGATTTATTCAATGGAAGGGCTCAATAAACTACAGTTACCGTTTTGAAAGCAACACCTGACATATTCCTGGTGTATTTTTGTGCACCTACAGAAAACTGTACAAAGGATTTATAAATTTTCAACAGAACATTATCACATCAATAATTTAAATTACTAATGTTTGGTAAATGACATTTAAAATGAATCATTTAGAGGTTAGTACTCACCTGGAACCGTGGATCTGCGTCACTTTCCCCAATCTGATGGAGAAGCTCACCACTTGTTTGGCCAACAGTCCCAGCAGCAGTCAGCAGGACCTGGCGAGGCTGAAATGTAAAATATTAAATTCTAACTGTGGCAATTATTAACTTATTGACTTCAACCAAAAGGAATGGTCTAACCATAGGGGCTGTTAGACATCCATACCTGCTTAACCTACCAATTTAGCATTTTACAATGATTAGTGACTTAAATAAGCTACATTTTAAATAATTAATTGGGTAAATTTGATCAGAAGGCTGTAAATAATGAATTATCATCTCTGCTTTACCTTTCTAACGGCAAGTAATAAATATATTGATTAGGAATTTGGATCAGTAAATATTCATTATATCCAAAAGTCGATTGCAAATTGTATTTGATAACAAATGCCCAATATAATCTTGCAAATTCTATTGAATTTTAAGGAACTTCAAGTTAAATTAGTTCTTGCACATCTGTCTAAAAAGGGAATAACAAATTTAGATTGGAAAGATAATTTATCCTAAGGTTTATGATTAGGAGATAATTTACCTCAGCAGAAGCTGGCTGAGCAGTCTTGAGTAATTCTGACACAGCACAAGCCAGATTCTTGGCTGCTTTCAATAACTGTTGTCCATTTGCACCCTCATCCTCCATTAGGGCTGCCAGCAGTTTGACACCCTTTGACATCTCAGTTAAGTTTGAGGAGATTGTTGTCACAGCACATCCAACTGCTGTGTAGTCTGTATCAAGAGGGTCTCCTGTAAAAATCAGCATTTTAAAAACAAATAATTTAAAAACAACAATACAGTACTATAATTAGCACTTAGAGATAGTAAGAACTGCAGATGCTGGAGTCAGAGATAACAGTGTGGAGCTGGAGGAACACGGCAAGCCAGGCAGCAGAGGAGCAGGAAAGTTGACGTTTCGAGTCGGGACCTTTCTTCAGAAAATGACCCTTCTGAAGAAGGGTCCCGACCTAAAACGTCAACTTTCCTGCTCCTCTAATGCTGCCCGGCCTGCCGTGTTCCTCCAGCTCCACACTGTGTTATCTATAATTAGCACTTGTTCGGTTTGATTTTTGAGGTCGGTTTGAATTCTTCAAAAGTAATTGCCATATACTCTTCTTTCTTGGTGGTGGGGGGGGGTGTGGTGGTGGTGGATGGTGGATGGTGGCAGGGGTGCACTGTAGCCCCAGGAGAGGTCATTAAAGTTTCCAGAACAAGTAATACAATAGAGAGCATGGAAAGGGTCAGGAATCTAACTTCAGGCACAGCAGATAAGGGGTCAACTAGGCAAAGGCGGGCTTGTCAACACAGGACCTAGGGTGTTGTACTTATATGCACATGAAATAATGTAAATATATTTGAAACAAGGTAAACGAGCATGTACAATGTCGTGGGTATTACGGAGACGTGGCTGCAAGTGGATCAGAGCTGGGAACTAAATATCCAACCATAGATGTACCATTGAAAGGCCAGGCAGACAGATAGTGAGGATGGGGTTGCCTTGTTAGCAAGAAATGAAATTAAATCAATAGCAAGAAGTGATAGAGAGTAAGAAAGTGTAGACTCTGTGTGGGTAGAGTAGAGGAACTACAAGGATTGACGGCTGTTGTGAAATGTGGGCCATCCTCTTAGTCAGGATGTGGGACAGAAAATTAATCGGGTGACAGAAAAGACACTATTACAATAATCATTGGGGATTTCAATATGTAAGTAGACTGAGAAAATCAGGTTGGTAGCAGATGCCATGAAAAGGGATTCGCGAAATATCCACGAGATGGTTTTTGGAACAGCTTGTGGTAGAGCCCATGAGGGAACAGGCAATTCTACCTTAGAAATTCCTTGGGGGCAATGACCAGAGTATGATAAAATTCACCCCGCAGTTTGGAAAGAAAGAATCAGTTGGAATCAGATGAAGTGGTGTTACAGTTGAGTAAAGGTAACCACAAAGATATGAGGGAGAAACTGGTCAGAGATGATAGGAAGGGGGCCGAGCAGAGAAGACAGCGGAGCAGCAATGGGAGGCAGTTCTGGGTGTAATGCAGGAAGCACAGCAGAAATTCATCCCAAGGAAGAAGAAACATGCTGAAGAGAGGACAAGACAACGATGGCTGACAAGGGAAATCTGGGACAGCACAAAAGCAAAAGAAAAAGCATACAATATGTTGAAGATTGGCGGTAAACCAGAGGATTCTTTAAAACAAGCCTTTAAAAACCAGCAGGGGACAAATAAAAAGGCAATTGGAGGTAGTGGTGAGGTGTTGGTAGAAAATGAAATATGCGAGTAAGCCAGCTGGAAACAAAAGATTGCAAGAAGATTTATTACGATACATAAACAGTAAGAAAGAAGCAAGAGTGGACACTGAACCACTGAAAAATGAGACTGGAATAGTAGTAATGGGAAACAAAGAAATGGCGGAGGAACTGAATAGGCATTTTGCAACAGTGTTCAGTGGAGGATGCCAGTAGCATACCAGAACTTCATGAAAGCCATGGATCAGAGGTAAATGTAGTGGCCATCGTTAAGTGGAAGATGCTGGAGAAGCTGGAAGATGAGTAGATAGATAGATCACTCAGACCAGATGGACTACAACCCAGAATTCTGAAGGAGATAGCTGAGGAGATTGTACAGGCATTGGTGGTGATCTCTGGGGAGTTGGGGAGTTGGGGACTAAGTGTGGTGTCAAAATTTGCAGATGACACTAAGACGAGCGGTAGAGCAAAGTGTGCAGAAGACACTGAAAGTCTACTGAGGGATATTGACAGTCTAAGTGAGTGGGCAAAGGTCTGGCAGATGGAGTACAATGTTGATAAGTGTGAGGTCATCCATTTTGGTAGAAATAATAGCAAAATGGACTATGTTTTAAATGGTAAAAAATCGCAGCACGCTGCTGTGCAGAGGGACTTGGGTGTCCTTTGCATGAATCGCTAAAAGTAGGATTGCAGGTGCAATTAAAAAGGCAAATGGAATTTTATCTGTCATTGCTACAGGGATGGAGTTTAAAAACAGGGAGGCTATGCTGCAGCTGTATAGGGTTCTGGTGAGGCCACACCCGGAGTACTGTGTGCAGTTTTGGTCTCCTTACTTGAGAAAGGAGGTACTAGCACTGGAGGGGGTGCAGAGGAGATTCACTCGGTTGATTCCAGAGTTGAGAGGGTTGGATTATGAGGAGAGACTGAGTAGGCTGGGATTATACTCATTGGAATTCAGAAGAATGAGGGGAGATCTTATAGAAACATATAGCATTATGAAGGGAATAGATAAGGTGGAGGCAGGGAGGTTGTTTCCACTAGCAGGTGAAACTAGGACTAGGGGGCATAGCCTCAAAATAAAGGGAAGCAGATGTAGGACTGAGGTCTGAAGGAACTTCTTCACCCAAAGGGTTGTGAATCTGTGGAATTCCCTGCCCAGTGAAGCGGTTGAAGCTACCTCACTGAATGTGTTTAAGGCAAGGCTAGATAAATTTTTGAACAGTAAAGGAATTAAGGGATATCGTGTGCGGGTGGGTAAGCGGAGCCGAGTCTCAAAAACATCAGCCATGGTCTTATTGAATGGCGGGGCAGGCTCGAGGGGCCGGATGGCCTACTCCTGCTCCTAGTTCTTATGTTCTTACAGCAATCACTGGAGTCAGAGAGGGTTCCAGAGGACTGGAAAATTGCTAATGAAACACCCCTGTTGAGGGAGGGAGGGAAGCAGAAGATGGGAAATTATAGGTCAGTTAGCCTGACCTCGGTCATTGGTAAGATTTTAGACTCCATTACGAAGAATGAGATTGCGCAGTACTTGGAAGTGCATGGTAAAAAAAAAAGCCCAGTCAGCATGCTTAGTCAAGGGGAAATCATGCCTGAAAAATTTGTTATAATTCTTTGAGGAGGTAGTGAGCAAGTTGGACAAAGAACCACCAGTGGATGTGGATTTCCAGAAGGCCTTTGACAAGGCACCACACAGAGGTTGTTAAACAAGTTAAAAGCCCATGGTGCTAGGGGCAAGGTACTGGCATGGTAGAGGATTAGCTGACTGACAGAAGGCAGAGAGTGGGGTTAAAGGGGTCTTTTTCAGGATGGCAAGCTGAAAAAGGTTGCCTTTTTCCTGCAAGTGCGGTTCTGCAGGGTTAAGTGTTGAGTTCACAATTATTCACATTATACATTAACAAGCTGACAAAGGAACTGACGGCATTGTTGCTAAGTTCACAGATGACACAAAGATAGGTGGAGGGACATGTAGTGTTGAGGAAGCAGGAAGGTTGCAGAAGGACTTGATAGGTCAGGAGAGGGGCGAAAAGTGGCAGATGGAAATCAATGTGGGGAAGTGAGGGGTTATACTTTAGTAGAACCAACAGAGGTGTATTTTCTTAATTGGGAAAGGCTTGGGAAACCTGAAGCACAAAGGGAGTTGTTCGTTTAAGATTAACATGCAGGTTCAATTGGCAGAGATGTACTGTACAAGGCTCTGGTCAGACCACATTTGGAATATTGACAGCAATATCCAGGCTTGAGGTGACAGGTGGCAAGTAACATTCAAGCTGCACAAACACCAGGCAATGACCATCCCCAATAAAAAACACTGCTTCATGACATTCAAATGGTATTACCATCCTTGATCTACACCCCCCCAGTCAACGCACACACATATCCCGACTATCGTCATCCTTGACATTACTATTGACCATAAACTCAAATGGACTCATTATACAAATAGTGGCTACAACAGCAGGTGAGAGGCTAGGAATACTGCAGCAAGTAACTCACTTCCTGATTCCCCAAAGTTTCTTCCCACACAAATCTCAAATCAGCAGTGTGATGGAATACTTCCCCACCAATCTTGATGGATGCAGCTCCCACAAAATTCAAAAAGCTTGACACAATCCAGGACAAAGTAGCCTGTTTTATTAGCATCACCTCTACAAGCATACATTTCCACAACGCTCAGTAGCAGCAGTGTGCGCTATCCACAAGATGCACTGCAGAAATTCACCAAAGATCCAGAACCTTCCAAACCCATTACCACTTCCAGGACAAGGGCAACAGATACAATGGGAACACCACCACCTGCAAGTTCTTGCTATTCTGACTTGGAAATATTTTGCTGCTCCTTCACTATTGCTGGGTCAAAGTCATGGAATTCCCTCCCTAGGGCATTGTGGATTTATCTACAGCACTCTGTGGTCAGTGGTTCAAGGTGGCAGCTCACCACCACCTTCTCAACAGCAACTAGGGATGGACAATAAATGCTGGCCAGCCAGTGATATCTATGTTCCATGAGTAAATAAGAGTGTGTGTTTCGGGCCTCACAACTAGGGAAGAATATGCTGGCTAGGAAGGGGCCCAGAGGAGGTTTATAAGAATGATTCTGGGGATGAAAGGCTGAGGATGAAGAGGTTGGAGGGCTTTGGGTGAATTTCTGGTGCTGAGATAATTGGTTTCAGATGATTTTTGGAGCTCAGCTGCTCTAGCAGACCTAATACGAGCAGTAAGCTGGTTATTGCTGAATAAGTGCCTTTTGACTGATATCAATGACCCCTCCCATAACTTTGCTAGTACTGAAAGTAGAAACAATTGGCTAGATAGGAGGAATTTCTTCTCTCAGAGGTGGTGAATCTTTGAAACGTGTTGCCTCAGAGCTGAGTGTGCAGTCTTTGAGTATTTTTAAGGCTGAGATAGATGCATTCTTTATCAGTCGGGAATCAAGAGTTAGAGGAAAGGGCAGGAAAGGGATATGAGGTGTATCGATCAGCAATGGTCCTACCACATGGCTGAGCAGGCTTGTGGGGCTGAACAGCCCAATTCTGTTCCTATTTCTGGTGGTTTGTTCGGATTTCTGAGGATAGAGTCATAGAGTTATACAGCACAGAAACAGATCCTTGGGACATATCTGAGCAATTTGATGCTCATGTTGTCACTGTATTGGAACAGTCTGTAAAAGATGCAGCTCATTCAAGAGCAAGAGTCTTCAGAACTACTGATGTTGTCAGGTGCCAAAGCTTTCGTTGTGAATTCAGGCATTTCTTGATATCATGTGGAATGAATCAAAGATTGCTATCCGTGATACTGCGGATCATAAGGAGGCAAAGATGAATCATCCACTCAGAATTTCTGCTGAAAATTGTTCCAGATGCTTCTGCACCAACATGCTGAGCACCTGCATTGTTCAGGATGGAGGATGCTTGTGCACCTTCTTCCTTCAGTAAGTTCTTTAATTGACCACCACATTCATAATTGGATGCAAGACTGTAGAACTTTGCTCTGTCTGCAGCATGTTTCTTAAAGCCTGCATATAATTCTTTGAGATAGTAGCAACTGCAGATGCTGGAGAATCTGAGATAACAAGGTGTAGAGCTGGATGAACACAGCAGGTCAAGCAGCATCAGAGGAGCAGGAAAGCTGACGTTTCCGGCCTAGACCCTGAAGCTCTGAAGCTCTACACCTTGTTATCTCACAATTCTTTCTTGCAGCTTTAGCAGGCTCAAAGCTTAATTTTTAGGTATGCCTGGTGCTGCATATGGTGGCCTGACTTTATTATAATAGTATTGAGAGAGATATGCCAACAGATAGTCCACACTGCCAAGTTTGCAAGAAAGGCAAGTGGAATGTTGGCCTTTATTGCAAGGAGGGCACAGCAAAAAGTAGAGAAGTCTTGATACAGCAGTACAGGGAAGTGATGAGTCCACACCTGGAGGGTGGAGTTAAAGCAAACAAGATTATGATCTTTGTAAACAGACAGAGTGCAAAAATACATCAGAAGAACCTGCATTAAATATGAATTTGATCTCAACTGCATTAGTGTGTTCACTTCTGGGCACCAAGCATTAGGAAGAACACAAACTTCCCAGTGCAGAAAAAGAAATACTAGAAGGTTAAATTAAAGAAGTTGGCTCTGAAGCCATTTGGAAGAGGGTCACTGGCCTCTTAGCATTTTAACTTTGTTTCTTTTCCACAGATGCTGCCAGACCTGCCGAGTTTCTCCAGAAATTTCTGTTTTTGTTTCAGATCTTCAGCGTCTGTAATTCTTTGTTTTACAGATGATATTGGTGTTGCCTTCCTTTCAGGATAAAGGTTAAAGGGAGATTTGCTAGGTGGTGTTTGAAATCATGAGGGAGCTAGACAAACTAGATAGAAATGAGCTCTCCCCTTTAGCAGGGAAGTTGAAATCCCGTAGCAATGGCTATAAGATGGCTAGCAAAGACACTAATGGCAACATGAGGATTTTTTCAAAAACAGATGAACGGTTAAGACTTGGAATGTAATACCTTAGAGGGTGTAGTAGAGGTAGAAGCAATTGTGGCCTTCAAAAATGAGAATTGGATAAGCATCTCAAAATGAACAATTTCATACAATATGGTCAAAGGATGTTGCAGTGGGACTAGCCTTGCAGACAGCCACTTTCTTTGCTGTAATTGTTCAGATTTCGAGAACAATCACAATTCTCTGACTCACATTGTATTAAAATGCTCACCAACGATCCTGATAAATGTGAGATTTTATTTCATCTTTTAAAAACACACTGGAATAACACACTGTCTCTTCAACTGACCTGCAGTAAGGTTGACAACTGATGCTGTGCCTGCAGTAATGGCATCAACTTGTGAATGGATCTCATGTTTGGATTCATCCATTTTATTTTTTCTCCATGCTTTTGAGGCCTATAACATGAAAACAAACTTCCCACGTTAAAAATAAGAGCCATATTACTTTGACACATTTAGAATTACACCTGCAAAAGAATTATTATAATACAATGAATTATTAGGTCCATAGGATGACCTGGATAACAGCATGCAAAGCAAGGTCAATGTATTTATCAGAATATGGCCAGACTGGCAAACTGTAACGTGACAAGCTTTTAGCTTATAGCACTGCACCTCAAGCAGCAAAATGACAACCCCATTAGTGAATGATACAGACTGTCCGGAATAAACCTCAGTGATCAGTACTCAATTATTTAAAATATACATTGAAGACACGTTGATATTTAAATGGGAATTAGAATATGTTTTCTACAATATATTAATCAATTTTACGTGGTGATTGAACTTCTATCAAACAGTACATAGTTATCTCAAATGTTAGGCTTCATGCAATATTATTTAAAGTAAAAGATTTATTAACAAGGTAGTTACACCATTGTATCATTATTCCAGTAGGAGATTTTGAAGCTGTCAAAATTGTTAAAATATTAAAATGGCAACACATTCACAAAAATTATTTACAATTCACTGATGCTCATCCCAACATATCCCGCTCTAAACGAGATATAACAGCAAAAGCTGGAAGAACAGTTTCTCATTTTCCACTTGGGGATCCTGCAGCCTTCAAAAGCTCAATATTGAGCTCAATAATTTTAGGGCGTATCACCTTCCTCCGACACCCACATACCAGACCTTGTCATCACATGGGCTACTACCATTGATTCTCCCAGGCTGACCATTATCCATTCCTTTGTTTGCCTAACTGCTTTTTTCTCTCTCTAGGCTCCATCTCCACCTTTTGTTTGATCCTCCTCCTCCTCCCTCGCCCTATCTTCAGCATATATACCATGCTTTCTCCAAACTACAATCAGTTCTGGGGGAAGAGTCACCTGAAATGTTAACTTTGCCTTCTCTCCACAGATGCCGCCAGGCCTGCTGGGTTTCTCCAGCAATTTGCTTTTGTTTCAGATTTCCAGCATCTGCAGTGTTTGTTTTTTTTTTTGTTTTGTATATAACTAAGGCAGCTAACCTCACACTTCATTACAAAAGTATAGCCATTAGAAATCCAAGAGTTGCTTAGTTTAGAAAGGCTCTCTGTTCAGAATATAGTCCAGTTAAATTTCTTTTTGAATATTATCCATCAAGACTGGAATCTTTAATATTGTCCCTGATTAACTGTTGAACATACCTATTAACATCAAGTTTTGCCTCTGCACATACTTCCTACAAATAATGCCCATATTAATTCAGTCAGATTTTGTCATCACAATTACACTTATTTATTCATTTTACTTAACAGTCCTTCGAGCAGTTTTTTTGAAATCTACCCAAAAATTCCCATCTCTCTGAAATCAAGCCCCTCACAAGGTATGTTCGGAGGTTGAATTACCACATTCATTGCCTCAATTTCAGTTCAGCTCAAACACAAACTACCTCACTCCCTAAAATGCCAAACTTATACTTCTGCTATAGATAGGAATCACACTCAGTATGTGGATGCATCACTGAACATTAAATGGACTGATAATGAGGATCATTAAATAAAATAATCCAAATGTTTAAATTTAGACTAGAGTATTGTAACCATTTTTGGACTAGCCAATGGATTACAGATATTCTGAAGGTGGTATAGTAGCAAGCCACCCAAGTGATATATAGGCATAGGGCCCCTTAATTATCAGTCTTGGCTTGAAGAGTTGAGTCATTTTTACTTTACAAACCTGGGGGCTCAAAGGGACTATCACTGGGTTTTTTTTAAATTACGAAAGAAATGGGTGTAGATTACCAAAGCAAGCACAATTTTCCTGCTTTGGCCTCAAATTTACCTCAGTTTAATATGTCATAAAACTCAGTTAATTTAATTTTAACTGTCAATTCCGAAATTCATTACAAGTACATTGAATCCAGTGTTGTGGAATGCAGCACCACATTTTGTTTCCTGTTAAAGGTTGTAAACCTCTTCTTTTGACTCACGATGGATGATCAAAGCACATAAAGATTCTTTTCTAATTAAGAATAGATACAATATGTCATCATGGTATGCACATTTCTTATCTTCACAGCAGTCATTCGCATTATTAAAAATTTCTGCAGCAAAATTTCCCTCAGGCAACCAGCTATCTCTACATTCAGAACTGATCTGCGGTATTCCAGATGGGACAAAACTGGATCTTTTCATGAGTAGAATGTTCAACGACATGAGCAATAAATTAGTATAGAAGCAATTAACATTGTATTGAATTTCTATCAGTCGAATTAAGGTTGCATGTCGCAGATGTTTTGCATTTTTCCCTTTCTATGTGCTGCACAATTTATAATGTGGCCTCTAAACATTGACTTAACATGGTCACAGACAAATGCTCAAGAAATTTCCTCCAAAGGGATGGAGACTAGCTTTGAATTTGTTCTCGACACTTTGCACCATGACCTTAAGCATAGAGTACTTTGTAATAAAGTAAATTCTAGCAATTTATGATTCTAATGTCCCTTAGGAAAAATAAAACAAATCCTTGAACTTGCAGTCACTATACTTCAGCCAACTGACCCAAAATTCAATAATCCAATGTTCTCAAAATGATGCCATAGTGCGAGTTTTTCACATCCATTTCAAATTAATTTCACTTGGCATATCTTGAAACATTGACTGATGCATAAATTTATGCACTTAAATACACAGAACAAGAAGTTACTAATAAAATATAAATATACAATGGTTCAGTGAATTAATCAGAATCAACATACCGCATCATGTCCAAGGGGTGGCAAGGCATCAACGTCATCCAGACTAGCTGTTGCTTGCTGCACAGCTTGCATGCTAGAATTAATAGTTCCCAGGAGAGCTTGCTGTGCAGATGTCTAAAAAAGACAAATTATAAAAATTGCAACTTAGTAACATCCTAGTAAAGAAAACACTCATTCATTCTCAAAAAGTTACTGGCAATTCACTATGGACTCTGCAGCTCTCCAAATATTGCTTTAAAGCAGACAAGGTTTTGTTTCAAAGAGAATAGGTTTCTAAAATGTTCATTGAATAAAGTCCAGTAATACCACCCAATAAAACATGCAGAACAGCTGAAGTGTTCACAAGTAAACACTTAAATTCAACACATACACATCTTTTACTAATAATCTTGAAATCTAGAATTAAAACCTGGTATTTGTTAGTCCTCCAATATGAGCATAAGAAGAATGCTATGTGCTACAAAATTACAGCAAATCATTTCACCAATCAACCAACAGGACTCTCAGAGATACCCATCATTTCCCAGTAGACAGTGATTTCCTGATGATCGGTTCAATATGCTTCTGAGATGGATGGCAAAAGTTTGGTACCTACTCAAGAGTTGTTGAGTATTAGCTAGAAAACCATAAGGGTGATTTTTCTCCCCCCTTTGCTTTGTGACGAAGAAGTAGTTTTATTCCATGTTTTCAAACAGAAAGGGTTGAGGTTGCCTATGGAAACCCACCCACTCACCCACTTTGCCTTGTTCAACTACTTTGACAGGTTACTAGTAGGTGGCTTGAAGGCAACAAAATGCCTTAAAACTAACACACATTTTGGTTGCAAAAGGCCAACTACCCCGCAATGAAAGCCAACCTTACTCAACTTCCAGGCTCAGGGAATCATAGCATGGTGCTAACGTTGTGTACTAGTAATCCAGTGGACGTAGATAGTAGATTAACGTATCTGGAATATGAAGCTAGATTCAGTAATGATGCTGTAGAATCACTGACAGTCATTAAAAATCCAAATGGTTCACTAAGGTCATTTAGGGATGAACATCTGCCACCTTTACCCGGTCTAGACTACATGTAACACCCGATGGCCAAATATCAGGTATGTGACCTAACAACTGTAAAGGGACTGCAATTTGGTTGCAAGTCACGAGTGTGCAGCTTGCTGGAGGAATTGTAGGTGATGATGCTTTCCTGTGTCTGGTGCCCTTGTTCATTTCAGCAGTAAAAATCAGGGGTCATGCTGCAAAAGGAGACTTGACAAGTTGCCTTTTTTGTTCTATCCTTTAATGGGACATGGCTGTCTCTGGGAGAAGTCAGAATACGTTGCCCACCCTTAACAGTCCTTGATTTGAATGGCTGGCTGGCTAGGCATTTCAGAATGGGCCTAGACTCACATGGAGGCCAGATTAAGTAAGGATAGTAATTTTCCTTCCTCATTAGTGAGCCACATGGGTTTGTGTGACAACCAATGATAACTTCATAGTGCCTTTACCAAGACAATCTTTATATTCCAGATTTATTGAAATAATTTAAATTAAATTTAGATGTAGTGTATCTTGCATATGGCACACTCTGCTCATGTCCACTGGTAATGAAAAAGGTGGATGTTTATTGTAGCGGGCATTGTGCAGACTGAGTGAGCTACTGGCAAAAGTCAAACTTCTGAAGTATTGTTGGAGCTGTACTCATCCAGATAAATAAAGAATGTTCTATCACATTTCTGGATTGTGTCTTATAGATGATGGACGGCCTTTGGGGAGGCAGGAGACAAATTACTCGCTACAGAATTCCCAGTCTCTGGTCGGTTCTTGTAGGCATAGTATTTGCATAGTGGTGGAGGAGGGTTGTTTTTCAGACTGGAGGCCTGTGACCAGCGGTGTGCCACAAGGATCAGTGCTGGGTCCACTGCATTTTGTCGTATATATAAAATGAAGTGGATATCGATATCGGAGGTACAGTTAGTAAGTTTTCAGATGACACAAAAATTGGTGCTGGAGAGGACAGTGAAGACGATTATCTCAGAGTACAATGGGACCTTGATCAGATGGGCCAATGAGCCGAGGAGTGGCAGTTGGAGTTTAATCTAGATAAATGTGAGGTGCTACAGTTTGGTAGGGCAAATCAGGGCAGGACTTATACACTTAATGGTAAGGTCGCTGTGGAGTGTTGCTGAACAAAGAGACCTTGGAGTGCAGGTTCATAGTTCCTTCAAAGTCGAGTCGCAAGTAGACAGGGGAGTGAAGGCGGTGTTTGGTATGCTTGCCTTTAATCGGTCAGTGCATTGTGTACAGGACTTGGGACGTCCTGTTGTGACTGTACAGGACATTGGTGAGGCCACTTTTGGAATACTGCATTCAATTCTGGTCTCCCTGCTACAAAAAGATGTTGTGAAACTTGAAATTATTCGGAAAAGATTTACAAGGATGTTGCCAGGGTTGGAGGGTTTATGCTAAAGAGAGGCGCTGAATAGGCTGCGGCTATTTTCCTTGGAACATCAGAGTCCAAGGGGTGACCTTATAAAAGGTTTATAAAACCATAAGGGGCATGGAGACAATGAATAATTAAAGGTCTTTTCCCCAGGGTATGGGAGCCCAAAAATAGATGGCATAGGTTTAAGGTGAGAAGGGAAAGATTTAAAAGGGACCCAAGGGCCAACCTTTCCACACAGAGAGTGGCGTATGTATAGAATGAACTGCCAGAGGAAGTGGAGGAGGCTGGTACAATTACAACATTCAAAAGGCATCTAGATGAGTATATGAATAGGAGTTGTTTAGAGGGATAAGGGCCAAATGCTGGCAAATGTGACTAGATTAATTTAGGATATTTGGTCATGCTATATATCTCTATGACTGGTCCAGTCTCATCAATGGTAACCTGAAGGTATTAAAATGGGGAATTTAATTCTTAATTGTCAACCATTATTCATGAAAGGATGTGGAAGGACGGCAGAGGTTTGATCGAATGTGATGGTTGTGGGATCACTTTGCTCTATCACATGCCTCTTCTGTACAAGTACGACTGATGTGAATTTCCAAATGAGGGGGAACATTAGACCAATCCTAGACAACAACAGTAACAATTAAATGACTGGTTGTGCATGAATGTGAAAAATCTATTGAACTATGTTGGTGTTAAAATGATTTGACATACAGGGTTTCTGCTTTAAAAACATAGTCATTGCTTTAACAACATGCAAGTAAATCCAGAAAGTACAACTATCAGCCAGATACCTGAGGGGGCAGGTGACATAAAGAACAAAGAACAAAGAAAATTACAGCACAGGAACAGGCCCTTCGGCCCTCCAAGGCTGCACTGATCCAGATCCTCTATCTAAACCTGTTGCCTATTTTCCAAGGATCTGTATCCCTCTGCTCCCTGCCCATTCATGTATCTGTCTAGATACATCTTAATGACACTATCGTGCCCGCCTCTACCTCTACTACCACTGCTGGCAACACGTTCCAGGCAGCCACCACCCTCTGCGTAAAGAACTTTCCATGCATATCTCTCAAACTTTTCTCCTCTCAGGCAGTGGAGCAGAATTTAGACGGGACCTGATTAATATGCACCAATTCTAAATGTTTCTTGCAGCATATTTGAGAGTGAATCCAGAGGCATAATAATTAAAATCTTCATTCATTTCAATGGAGGCATTTCAATGGTTTCTTACCAATGGAGGCATATGTCCTCTGTGCATCTGCCCGCTGGTCACCTGTTGTTGAGCTTGTGGCATTGTTCCAACCTGAAAGCTCTCTGGACCCCCAGCTCCAGAACGCATAATTGCAGGTAATGCCACAGATCCATGCTCCACTTTTCCAGTTCTGTTAAACTGTTGCTGCATGATGGTAGACCTGCAAAAATAACAGTGCACATAAATAAATATTAATATGTTATACATAAGTTACATGAAGAAAATCAGAACTTTTTTCCTATTCATTTGTGGGATGTGGGTGTCGCTGGCTGGCCCATGTTTCTTGCCCATCCCTAGATGACATTATTCAAGCTGTTGCTTATTTTTTCAACCATAGTTGCATTTATCGTATTACACCATTTCATCATAAAGGAATACAGGAATGTAGAAACAGAATTAGGCCTTTCAGCCCCTTTCAAGCCAGTTCTACCGTTTAACTTGATCACAGTAGATCTCTGCCTGAAATCTATTTACAGATCTTTTTCATACTCTTCAGTACTATTACTGAACAAAGACCAATCAATCTCGGGCTTACAAGTTCCAATTGGCCAGTGTCAAATTCATCTTGGAAAAGGGAAGAGAGAAGTTTCACTATCTTGTCTGGGATAAAGTGCAGTACTAAATGGGCTAACATAAAACATAGAACATAACAGCGCAGTACAGGCCCTTCGGCCCTCGATGTTGCGCCGACCTGTGAAACCAATCTGAAGCCCATCTAACCTAAACCATTCCATTATCATCCATATGTTTATCCAATGACCATTTAAATGCCCTTAAAGTTGGCGAGTCTACTACTTTTGCAGGCAGGGCATTCCACGCCCTTACTACTCTGAGTAAAGAACCTACCTCTGACATCTGTCCTATATCTATCATCTCTCAATTTAAAGCTATGTCCCCTCGTGCTAGCCACCACCATCCGAGGAAAAAGGCTCCCACTGTCCACCCTATCTAATCCTCTGATCATCTTGTATGTCTCTATTGAGTCACCTCTTAACCTTCTCTCTAACAAAAACAGCCTCAAGTCCCTCAGCCTTTCCTCATAAGGCCTTCCCTCCATACCAGGCAACATCCTGGTAAATCTCCTCTGCACCCTTTCCAATGCTTCCACATCCTTCCAATAATGCAGCGACCAGAACTGTACGCAATACTCCAACTGTGGCCGCACCAGAGTTTTATACAGCTGCAACATGACCTCATGGCTCTGAAACTCAATCCCTCTACCAATAAAACCTAACACACCGTATGCCTTCTTAACAACCCTATCAACCTGGGTGGCAACTTTCGGGGATTTTAGGATGTGGCTTCATTCTAGATTACTCCAAAGAAGATTGCTTCTCTGCATATTGTTTTAAGCAGTTTTGATGAGATTATCCCACAACTGTCTTTTTTTTAATCAATCTGTTCAGAGATATTATTACACACCTCTACAGCAGTTGGGACTTGAACCCAGGCTTCCCAATCCAAGGGTAGGGACACTACTACTGTACTAGGGGATACCCCCCTCAACTTTCTATATTCAAAGAAATACATTCCTAGCTTATCCAACCCAATCCCATAATTTAACCATTTAAAATCAGATATTATTCAATGTCTTTTTCATGCGTAATGAACTGGCCATTGTTAAAAGGGATATTTCCTCACTTCACAGGTGAAGAGGTACAAAGTCTTAAGGTACAATTACAAATACTGGTAAGGTGAAGTAGAGGCGACACATTTCTTCCTTAGAAAGATGCCATACCACTTTAGAAAGAATTTGGTCCTGACTACGTTATAAGCCTTGCTCCCAATTTCCTTTATCTGGATTGTGTACTAATATATTTATGTGGGTCTCATGGTTTTTAAAAAATAGGTCTTTTGCATGTTTTATTTTTGCACTTACTTCTTGGGAGACACAGAGTCCTCCAACATCGTTGATTCTTCATCACCCTCCAATCCAAAATGGTCTTTGCTTTTTTTCTGTGAAGAGGAAAATTGATTTATATGTACATTGAAAGACAAGTTCCCCAGTGTGCTCTTTACTAACCCATTTGTTAAGTGGAAGACCCCATTCGAGAACCAGCTAGCTTTCCACTCCAATTCCCACCAGTACAAATCTAGAACTCAGCAACCAACTTTTACCAGCATTTGGTCACTTAGTAGAGAAACACTTGATAGCATAATAAATGGGATGGCCACAAAGGCTAAATCACCTCACAAAAATGCTAAAATCGGGAGACATTCCCAGTGATTAGCCAATAAGGAATGGATTCACAAATAGATTCTCAGTTCTGACCCATACACATTTTCATTAATAGTTAACAATACGCTATTTTCTCCATTATGTCTCATTCAACTTGACTTGAAAACAAATAGGATTTAACCTCTTGACAGCTGAGAACAGTAAACTATAAATTGTTATAAAGTTACACTGTCAAAAATTCAGTGATGGAAGCAATATTCAAAATTATGTCATGTAAAATGGAGCACCTTGCACATATAAAAACAGGCACTAACATTGTGTTCCTCCAGCTCTACAACGTGTTGTCTGACTCCAGCATCTGCAGTTCTTGCTATCACTAACATTCATTTGTTTTTCTTTCATGATTTCCTACTCAGTTAAGAAAGTGCTTTAAAACCACATTTCTATATTTGTTTCGAAGTCTTGTTTTTACTCAATCACTTTTAACACTGTACTATTTGAACATGAAGATCACTACAAATAAGAGGAGTAAACCATCTGGCCCTCGAGTCTGCTCCTCCATTCAATATAAGCTTCTGGTTTAACTTCACTTTTGTCCATTCCCCAAATCACATGATTCCCAGAGACACCAAAAATCTGTACATCTCAGCTTTAAGAATGCTCAGCAATGAAACATTCCAACCCCATTGACGAGAATTCTAGAGATTGCTACCTTTCAGTGAAAAAGATTCTTCTCAGCAAGATCATGAGTGATTGGCCCCTTATCACGAGAATATGGCCATGTTTACCTTAAGCCCATTCACAACCTTGATGTTTCAGCAGGATCACCTTTATCATTCTTCCAGTTTCCAGAAAATGCAGGGAACATTTACTCAGGCCCTCATCACAGGTCAATCTTCTACTTCCTAATTGAGTAAACCTGCACTGTACCATCTCCAACAATCACAGTTTTAGGAATTACCAAGAGGAGCTAGGAACAGAAATTCTGACCAATTTGACAATTTCCACTTCAGTGGTGCCTCCCTTCTCCAACTCAATCAGCCCAAAGTGCAAACAGGTCCATAAATAATTGGGTCAAAACCCTGGAAATCCCTCCCTAAGGGCATTGTGGGTCAACGTACAGCACGTGAACGCCAGCAGTTCAAGAAGCAGCTCACCACCACCTTCTCAAGGGCAATTAGGGCTGGCCAGCCAGCAGCACCCATATCCCATGAATGAATGTTTTGTAAAAATGCCTCCTAAGCTTCCATGAGCTTAAACAGTTTCATGATACACTGTTTCTGGCATACCTCAGAGGATTCACAGTGAATATATTGATATATTTTATAGCTTTGTTGTAGTAGAAAATCCAAAGATTGTCAAATTTTGACATCCTTGCCTGTGCCTATATTACAGTGGAATGTTGTGAAAAATCTGAACATACTTGTAAATAAAACAGATGACAATCATGGAAGAAAGAAATTTACTGGAATACCTTTTTCAGAATGATATCGATGTATCCAGCTATGAGCTGGGCAATTTGCTCTCCTTCAGTTGTCTGAACTGAATAGTAACCATCCTGATAGTCACCAAAATCCTGCATCGCGGAAAAGTAGAAAAAATTTCTTAGATCATCACAAAAGTCAAAATATTGAAAGTTAGTCTCAATTTTTTACTTTTCACAAATCCCTCTTTTGCATTTCCTCCTTCAGTTTGTAGTGGCTCAGTGACAGTAGATTGTCCAAGTCAGAAGGTTTAAAGTCACACCCTAGTACTCAAACATATAATCTAAAATGATACATCAGTGCAGTCATGTGATTTTAGAAGACACCCTCAGAGCAAGTGCTAAGCCAAAGCCCTGTCTGCTCATTCTGGTGGATGCAAGTGTCCCACAGTGCGACTTGAAGAACAGTAGAGAATACTCAGTGTGATTGGTTAAAGAATAAGCCTTACCAACAAAAAAATTAGTGGACTGTAACCAACCACTGTTTATAAGGGCTCACGGTATGCCATTTGCCTACATTATAGTCACTGAGCTTCAAAAAAAGCAATTAGTTGATTGTGAGATGCTTTATGAACTCATTCATTCTCACTTTACAGTAGATTCTGTAAAATTTTATAATTTTTACTTGGCTAGCATCTGCTTGTGAAGCTTGATGTCTTTTCCTTAACTAGTAGTTCTTCCAAGGCAGCCAAAGAACTTAAAACCTCTACGGGAGTTTGAAGAAATAATATTATTCTTAAACCAATAGCACAAAAATTAAATGACTGGATAATTTAATCTCCAATCGCATTTCAATGAGCTACATTGTCTTGAACCACAACATTAAGATGGAAAATGATTCTTTCAATTATCAGAAAAATACTGCAATACAAAATATGCTGGAATGATCATGTGATTGGTGTTAGATCTGATCTACAACTCCACTTACTGTTCTGTTGCTTCTAATTTAAAAGTTAACATCTCAACATTTGGCAGAGTGAGGCTATTTACTCCCCCATATCAGAGGGTGGAGGACAAACGTCACTGTTTATTCCTATCAATGCTTCCTGTTTTAAGTTGGTAACTTCTGATAATCTTCACAAGATAGAGCATTTTATTCAATTCTTTTTATTTTTGTAGATGCCAATTTAAAAATTGGCCATATTACTGTAAGAAATAGAACAAAACTATAGCTTGGCCTTTCGCTTTGTTCTGAATTACCCAAGGACATCACAAGTCGCATCACAGTTACTCTTTGGTAAACAAGACTTGGAGACAGCCTTGATACATGTATTGTCTGTAGGATGAAAACTGAATGAGATAAGATTCACTCAACAGAAAGTTAATATATTACTACAACAGACAATTGAGAGTGTTACAAAACTATCTTGATTGCTGAAATGAACATTTGGATGCAAATCAGAATACAAAGCTGAAATATTAATGATATCACAAAGATGTGCATTTTCCAGCATGTACTAGCATCTGCTGGTGCCACTTAAATCCAAAAATGCTGTTTACCCCTGTGGCCAACATTTCAGCTGTCAAGAGATATACTGCAGCCAGTTCATTTATAATCACTTCAGACTTGCATCATCAGTATCTTGTATAGTAAATCTGATGCCTATACTTTTGCTTAAAAACTGCCAATGATAAAAACATGATTGTAGTCCTGTGACTGTAAATGTTCAGGCAAACACCGATCAATCAATCTGCCATTGATAGTAAAGAGTTCCAGTAAGGACTAAATATTGTTTAGACACAGACCTTGATTTTCATTGTTAAGGTCCTTGTGATGACTTAAGCATGACTTGTAAATGCTGCATGTGCAGTTTTTAGTGCTTACATGGTGTCAGTACAAATAACTGAGCATCATTTCACAAGGAATACTGCATTTTGTAATCTGGATATAGATTAGAAACTGTTCCTCTGAACCAACGTTAAAATCGGGGACAATGTATTTGCATTGAGATAGGGGAAATTCGAGATACCAGTCATGGCCTACAATCGAAACAAAAAACACTTGCACCAAATACGGTTTTCACTTCCAGAACTCAAATCCATCCCTTCGTATTCACCCATTATGAACACAGCAATGCATCTGACCACTTCACTTGACTGTTACTTCATTGTAAAATAATTAACACCTACAATTAGCTTTCCCCAGTTCTGGTGCTATTCCAGTGTATCTTTACATTCTCTCCAACGTCTTGACATTCTTGCTAAATGTTACTATTCTTGCTTGGTGCACAGGACTGGACACAGTGCTCCATCCAAGGCCTAGTGATTCATTAAATCTTTGCATAAACTTTTCTGTGCTTGATGCTTCTACTTATAAAGCCTGAATCCCATTTTTTAAAAAAAATTAGTCTTGTCATATTTTAAATATTTCTGCCCATCAGGTCCTCTTCCTGCACCATTAAAATTACATCAGTCTAAATCCAATACTGAAAATAAAAACACTACACTATAACTAAGTATAGAATATATGAAGCTTACATAAGATCCACTATTAGAGAGCAATTCAAATACTCTACCTCTACACTGAGCAACAAAACAAAGAACTGTACAAGAACATGTTTGACTTGTACTTCAGCATCTTCCCAGAAAAATCATGTGTCATATAGTAGAGGCACATATCTGTACTGTGATTTAAACTTGCTTCTTAGCTGCCCCACATTGAAGGACTTCACAATTAACTGGCTTGCCCAATTAAAAGTGAACTATAAATCCCCCACCCGCATGCCATCTTCATACATTTTCCTACAATTACCCCAGAAATTAGCATGTGTTATACTAATTAAGCTCAAAGAAAAAACATTTTGCAGACTAAACACTTAATGAACTAGAACAAATTGGAACCTTCATCATACTTTATAGTTTCTGCAGGACAACGTACGCTCAATGTGCTTTGAGTTTCAGACATTGCAATTGGTTTGAAAAGGAACCAACACTGCTAAGGAACAGAGACACTTGCTATAAATAAAACTTACCAGGGTAAAACTCTTTGGTGATGCTGCCCAGCGTTTGATATTAGTGAGGTTCCATTCCTGTATCACTTCTTTCGTTTTCTCATCCACACGCATAACACTTTCTTTGGTAATCCCCAGTAAACGGGGTACAAGTTTATTCTTTCCTTTCATTTTCTCCTGAAGAATATTAATATTTTATATGTTTAAAGAAAACAATAAAAGTTGCAAGGGAGCAAGATGAACAACGAGGTGTAATCAATCATAAAAAGTAGGCTCCAAAATTTATGAGAAGTGTGTCTAACCAAAATCACAGGGATGTTTTTCAGGCTAACAAGTTTTATGGAAGCAGCCAGATGCATTGTAAGATTTCCCTGAGTGACTGTTAGATACATATCAAATACATACTTGGAGGGATGGGGGAGGAAAGAACCACCCAACAAACTAATTGCAACATAAAATACATGATATAGTTATTTACTCTAAAATGTACAAGCACACATTTAATTCAAGTGTCCCAGTGAAACAGTAAAAGGACTAATGCCATTGATTAGTTAATTAAGTAAAAAGGAGAGCGTGCGAAGCATGGTATGTAATGATGAGCTCTATTTACGGGAACATAGCACTTGTTAGATATAAGAAGGGCTCATGGGAAGAACATTTCTACCACATGAAGGTCACAGATAACAAACTACAAACTAGAAAACAAAATGACTGTCATTCAGAAATTGTTTTGACATATTATTGTGCTTCCCATGCAAACCCAGTGCTAGAAAACAATATTCTTTAGGTAGTGCAAAGATATACTTTTAGTTTTGCCACACTGGCAATATTACTCAAGATAAAGGAGAAACTTAACAATTAAATACTTGTGCCATGTTTCAGAAGAACTACATTGTTTGAAATGGAGAACATAATTTGATAACATTTAAAAATTAATAAAGTAAAAATAAACAGTATAAAATATCATTGAATTATGAAAACATCACTTGTAAAATTGATTACTTCATACTTGACAATAACCATTTACCTTAACCAAGAAGAAGGAAACTCCATAGGTCTTTAAAGATCGAGCCATCTTCACATACAACACCTTAGCCTCCATTTCAGTCATGTTCGCACAGTTTTTGTGCGTCTATGTATTAAAAAAAAATGCAAGTTTGACTCCTCTGGTTATCTTTAATCATTGACATTTGATGTCAATAAAATGCATTTCAAATATGACTCCCATGTACAGAAGATGCTCTACAATACTTTAAGGATATATCAGTGGATGCTGAGAAAGAGGAAAAATGTAATAAATTAGAATGGTTCTGGGGGCAAAGCATAAAATCTATAGCATTTTAAAAACAGAGCTTGAAAACATGATACAACATTCCCAGGGCCAGAACCTTGTTAAACAAAGCAATCCTTTCCCCTGGTGGAGCAGAAGACTTGAGTGGAGAAGGATTTTAAACGAGAATAGGGTAAGAAAGGAGGAGGAGCTGGAAAGGCAGAATGAGATTTTTGGAGTCAGTTTGCAACAGCAAAGGATGCCAGATGAGCTTGAAAGGTTGGAGATCATGGCAATGCATGATTAGTACAAAGGAACCCATTATCTATTCTTCTTTAGAAAGCATGAGGCATAGAATTTAAGCCTTTGATGGCAACATACAAGAAATAATACAGTTTCAGTGTCTCAGGGTTTCAAATTGCATTGAGTAGAGTCAGAGTCATACAGCATGGAAATAGACCCTTTGGTCCAACTCATCAGTGCCGACCAGACACCACGATTTGACCTAGTCCCATTTGCCAGCATTTGGCCCATATCCTTCTAAACTTTTCCTATTCATGTACCCATCCAGATGCTTTTTAAATGTTGTAATTGTACCCATCTCCACCACTTCCTCTGGCAGCTCGTTCCATACATATACCACCATCTGTGAAAAAACTTACCCCTCAGGTCCTTTTTAAATCTTTCCCTTCACTGTAAACCCATGTCTCTAGTTTTGAACTCCATCACCCTAGGAAAAAGATCTTGGCTATTCAACCTATCCATGCCCCTCATGACTTTATTAATCTCTATAAGGTCACCCCTCAGTCTCCTACCTCCAGCATCTCCTCTTCTATATTATGGACACTTTTAAAGATATCACTATTTATTTCTCCAAGGTCTCTAGCTTCCATGTCCTTCTCTACAGTAAATACAGACACGAATTACTCGTATAATCTCACCCAATTTTGTGGTTCCACACAGATAACTTGTTGATCTTTAAGTACTACAATCATCAGCAAACACTCCCATTTCTGCCCTTTGGATGGAGATTAAGTCATTCAACAAATAGCTAAAGGCGGCTGGGTCTTGGACAATGTTCTGAAGAACTCCTGCAGTAACATTCTAAAGCAGAGATAACTGACCTCCAACACCTCAACCATCCTCCTTTGTGGTAGGTATGACTCCTTCCTATTCCCGTGACTTAAATTTTGTTATGGTTCAGTGATGCCACACTCAAATATGTCAAGGGAAGTTGTTCTAACTTTTGCAATTCAGCTCATTTGTCCAAGTCTGGACATTGGTGGCAATCAGATCATGAGCACTAATCTCATTTATGGGATTACAAATATCTAGAGTGCACCTCAATAATGCCATGCAGTTCAAGACAACATAAAAGGAAATAAAAGCAAGTAGTGGAGAAACTCAATGGGTCTGACAGCATCTGTGGAGAGGAACAGAGTTCATGTCTTGAATGTAATTACTTTTCTTCAGGAATTACCTGGTGCCAGACTTACCAAGTTTCTCCAGTACACATTTGATTACAGACCTAGAGAATTTACAGTCTAAGATGCTTTCAAGACAGAAAAGGATGGTCTAACTACAAATAGATTGCCTATACCTGCTTAAAACTGAAAATAATTTTAAGACTATTGAACAAAAACAGAATAGGAACATAGGATATAGGATCAGAATTAGGCCCTTCCAAACTTGTCTACCATTCAATGAAATGACTGATCTAGTGGTGCTCTCAGCTCCAATTTGCTGTCTGCACGACATAACCCTCATGCCCCTTGTCTAATACAATTCTAGCTAACTCAGCCTTGAATAAATTTAAATATCCAGTCCCCACCGTCATAAAAGGATTACACATTTTAACAACAAAAAAATTCTTCTGTCTTATACAGTAACTAGAGCTCTTATTCTTAAATCAGTCCCCTTTTTGTAATCTTTTTCACAAGTGGAAATATTTCCAAGTATCCATTCTATTCAGCGCCATCAAGATCTTCCGTGTTTCACCTTTCATTCGTCTAAAAACCAACACAAGTCTAACCTGTTCAATCTTTCTTCACAAGACAAGGGCTTTGCCCCAAGTAGTCAACCTTCACTTAACTATCTGAAAAATCATAAAACTTATCATTTAAAGAGACCAAAATTGTACACAGTACTCCAAGTATGGTCTCATCAATGCCTGTACAGTTGCAGTAAAACTTCCATACTTTTACATTTCCTTGCAGTAAATTACAACATTCCACTTGCCTTCCTAAACACTTTTACTCCTCATACTAACTTTGTGATTGATCTACCAAAATACCCTGATCCTTTGGCATCACTGAGATCTATAACTTTTCTCTACTTAAACAGTATACTGCTTTTCTATTTTTCTTGCCAAAGTTGTTGAAAAGGGCACATGCAGTTTCACACATTCCGAATAACCTGCTTCCAAATAGGTCTACTTCAAGGGCAATTAAGAATGGGTGATTAATGCTGGCTGTGCCTGTCCCAGAAACAATTCATATTCAAAATATTGAATGAAATTAACATTAAAAGTCTGTTGTCTGAATTAAAGAACTCTGACCAAATTAGAGTCTCAACCTCAAAATCTCTAAAAACAGAGCATTTAGCACGTTTATCTAAATAAGAATCAGCCTCCCGCCAAGGTCAGTTTACTTTTAACTTCAGTGTAAGAGATATTGCTTATATTTAACATGCAATACAGCAACACAAATATCCTGTTTTGCAACACCTACCATGAATATTTTCTTTTCACCTTTCTGCTTGATGTATTCTTTAGGCAGGAATTCTTTTAAGCTATAAAGATTAGCACAGTCAGCATTAAATGATGTCTGATGATGTACATTTAGTTGAAATATGGTTAAATTAGACCATGCTCTATAAACTTCTCCCATATAAATTTAGTTAGCACTACAATACACAAAATATTCATTTACATCAGCATATTTAAGCAAGCCTACTTAAAATATCAAAAATTCAAATGTGAATCAAACTCTCATTTTTTGCAAGTTTATGGATGACAAGTGTTTAAAATCACTGCCAACAGTTAATCTCATCACATTGGTGAAAACCCTCCCCATTGAAATAGATTATGGTAGCAAAATCAGACATTACCATTTTCCACTAACATTTCCAGTCTGAATATGCATCTATAAATCAGTTGCACATGCAACAATTTGGCAGTACAGAGCAGCCTACTCAACTATAAACACAAGGCCTTCAACTCAAATCGCCAATCTTATAGCATTGGAATTTGCATTTATTAATTCTCTTTCAGCATGTTAGAATTTGACTTAAGATCAGAATAGCAGAATACGCACACAACCTGAAAAAGGAACATCTCAGTTAATCAGCAGTGAGCCAAGAATAAATCAAAGGTGTAAAAAGATGCACAATAAATTGATTTACCGTGAAACTATTTTTTCCAAAGTTTTATACAAGCTGCAGTATCTTTTGTTTTCTTCAAAAACTTTCATAAATAATCTAGAAACATGACCCAAGTCTGAGGCAACAACAACCAATTACTACAAAATTCAGACCAGTGATCACAAGGTGTACTATTGCCACATCAACACAATGTATGATCAAAAAAAGGTAATTTTAGAAGGGCTTTTCTCTCAGTTTTACATCCTTGAAATCAGTGACTCTTAGGGTGGATGTATATTCTACAAGTGATTATTCCAGCCAAAAACCTGATTGATGTCATCTGTGATTTTTTTAACCTACAATAGTCCATGAGGAAATAAAGTGAGCAACAGTGATCTTGCAGGATCAATGATTAAATGAGTCACAAATTAATAGCTAAACATGTGGAAACAAAATATTAGAAGAACGGAGAGGCAAAGAGTGACCTCAAAAAAGCATAGTAAAAGATAGAAAGTGAAGTTATATGATATTACAATAGTCACACAAAGGGCAAGATACATAGGGTCATAGCAACAGCAAACAGGTTTGAAACTAAAGGAAACAAACAAACAAACAAAATTACAAGTTCAAGCCAAAACGTGAAGAAATAAACAACATACCCTTCTCAAAGGGGTATACAACCCTGATGAATTCAATGACTAAAATAAACGATGAGGCCTAATGAGGTTAAAAAGCACTCAAACATCTAAATATTACAGATAAATTGCATTTGTCATAGAGCTGAGAGATATTTAATTAATATCTGTGTGGTATTGATTATTACGGAGTTACTGAATATCAAGGAACTATAAGTAGATTACAAGGATGATAGAGGCAAAAGAGTCAAAAAAAGCAAGTGTCATTTCACACCCATTAGACGTCCTTCAAAACAAAAATCAAGAAATTAAGTATTAAATTTTTTTTTTTTTTTTTTTTTTTAAAAACGGCAAGCTTGAGAATCACCTAAAATGCAATTGTCAGTGATATTCTGGACAGAAGAGAAAACAATGATTTAAAATTCTAAATGCATAGTGTGAGGCACTGATGGAAGAACTAATACAAGTCATGTTTCAGTGTTCAAATACTGTGCATCACAACGTGAACATTGAAGTTATTCCTGAAGTCAGTTCTAATGCTTGTTTTGATCCAAGTCAAGCTAAGGTTATCTCTAACAAAGGGTATCTACTTACTCTAAAAAGCCAGGTTTGTGCTTCTGCTCGTTGTGGGGTCCAAACTGGATCTGACATTGGTATCCTGCAAATTCACAGGCTTTGTCAAAGGATACTGGATGTGAACCATTCAAAATGTCATCTCTGGCCTGATACAGAAGTACAGAGGGAAAACAATTATTCAGCTAAAAGCTGTATAAGCATCATTTCAGGGGCAGTAGCTGATTCTAAATTACAGAACAAAATTTTCAGAAGTCAGCTCACATGATTTCTTAAGATATTGCTTCAATTTTAATATAGGTAAAGTAGCTTGTGCTTCACCAACACCTCTTCACACCCTCTTCATCTAAACTCAGCAACATACGGCTATTTCTTTCTCATCACAATTCCCCATAAAACGCATTTAAGTTGTTCACTGCAGTCATATGTAATAGCAAGTTCCACACTTTGAATAAAATATTCTTATTCAATTTATTAATTAATATCTTCTATTTATGCCCCTAGTTTTTAAGACTCCCCATAATTGAAAACATCTGCCTCCATTATTTAGACACTTCTGAAGACTTTTGATTTCGTTTTTTCTGATAGAACATATCGTGTTCTCCTGCTCTTGCTTTCTTCTCTCATTTTCACTTCCCCATTTGACATTGTAAACTAGGCTGTTATCATTCTGTATTAGTGGCCTGTCATACAACCTACTCTTTCTGCTTCAACTTATTCTCTTTCTCGGCCTCCAGTTTTAGTTGCCCTACCTGTTCCCCGATGGGAATGTATCTTGGCTATACCTGAACCATCTCCCCTCCTCTCTTTGAGGGAAAATCTTCCATTACAGCTTTGCCTGCCAATCTTCAATTCCAATTTACTCACGATAAAATTGTTCTCCTCCACTAAAACTGGCCATTGTCTGATGACACGTTTTACACAAGAAAGATTCCATAAAAGCTGTATAGAAATTTAACTGACTTCTCTGAATTTGTTCTAAAAATGTACCCTAGAGCTTTGTTTATACGTAAATGCACTTATTAACCTGTACGAATGTCTTTAATAATTGGTCAGTCTGTACCCTAAGATCCTCATACACCTCTACTCCATTTAAACGCTTATATTTTTCAAGGAGTAGATGACGTTCTTTATCTTCCCACCAAAACCCACCACTACACACTTGTAAATTGAAACTCATTTTTATTCCGCAAGTTAAACATTTGCATTTTTTAAGAGCGTCTACTTCAGTGCTAATCATACTCTCTAATTTGATGCGGTCTAAAAATTTTGATACGCTTGGAGTCCAAACCATTTATATAAAATATGCTTCTAGTAGTGAACAGCACAGATATTTGTGGAAAACCAGTTCCTGCATTTTCCCAGTCTGAGTTAAATGACATTACCTTCCACTCTTCAGTGTTTTATACTATCATTCTGCTGCCTGTCCTGTGAATCCACTGATCAGAATTTAATTATGAGATGACGAGGTGTACCTTAGCTAATTCCTTTTGAAAGTTCATGTATACACCTGCTGCATTATCATTTTTATCATTATCCGTTATCATTTCAAATTGTACACAAAGCAGGATTTTTCGATATACAATTGTTCACACAACTTATTTGGAGAGGGTGAACATAAAATATAGATCATAAGTGTGTTAATTTTACATTTTTAAAAGGTTACAAAACACAAAGCAAGGTTCATTTTATTTTAAGGTACAGATTACAGATTTCTTAAGAAACTAACTTCTGGATTCAATTTCACATCAACATAGGAACACAGAAAACTGGAGTAGGCCATTCAGCCCATTGAGCTTAATTCATCATTCAATACCTTCACAACTGATCCTCTAGCTCAATCCCATACTCCCACACACTTCCCAATTCCCTTGACACCTTTATATTCTGGAAAGCTACTTCTTCATTAAATGTATTCAGTGACTTGACCTCCGGAACCTATGGTAGAGAATTCAACAGGTTCGCTACCTTCTGCGTAGAGGATAATGTCATTTAACTCAAACTGGGAAAATACAGGAACTGGTTTTCCACAAAGATTTGTGTTGCTCACTACTGGAAGCAATTTATATAAATGGTGTGGACTCATAAATCATACATCAAAATTTGGCAAAAACACTTCTCATCTCAGACTTAAATGACCTACTCTATATCCCAAGACTGTGAACCATTGTTTTAGACCTCCCCAATCACTGGAAACATCATTCCTGCATTCAGTCTGTTCCATCTTGACAGAATTTATACATTCCAATGAGATCCTTCTCATTATTCTGAACTCCAGAGAATACCTGCCCAGTTGATCCAATCACTCCTGATACAACAATCCTGCCATCCCAGGAGTCAATCTGCTGAATCTTTGCTGCACACTCACAATGGCAAGCAGATCAAGTCTGCACAAAATACTCTGTGTGGTCTCACAAGATCCTGTACAACTGCAACAACACATCCTTGTGCCTGTGCTTAAATCCTCTTGCAATGAAAGCCAACATAAAATTGCCTTCTTATCTACTTGGTCCACCTTCATGCTTGCTTTCAATGACCAGTGTACAAGGCAATCTTTGTACATTAATATTTCCCAATCTATCAATTAAATAGTATTCTGACATTCAGTTTCTCCTAACCAAGTGGATAACTTCACACCTGTCCATGTTATGCTTCATCTGCCACCTATTTGCCCACTCACTCAACTTGTCTAAATTGCCTTGAAGCTTTTTTGTATCTTCCTCACCACTCATAACCTATCTAGTTTTGTGTCATCATATGATACATGTGTGTACGCAAAATATTACATTTGATTCCCTCATCCAAATCAGTGATACATATTATAAATAGCTGGGGCCCTAGCACTGATTTTTGTGGTACCCAATATGTCACTATCTTCAACTCTGAAAGATACAAGTTTATTCCTACTGTTTCCTGTTTGCTAACCAATTCTCAATCTATGCCAGTCGATTACCACCAATCCCATGTGCTTTAACCTTGCACACTAACCTCGATTTTATCAAAAGCTTTCAGAAAATCCAATTGCTACATTTTGCTGATTCTCCCTTATCTATTCTACAAGATATGACCTTAAAAAAAAACTTAAATAGGTTGTCTTCTATTATGAACTTGAGCATTTGCCCAATTACTGACGTTAGGTTAACAGGTCTGTAATTTCGTTTTCTGCCTCCCTTCTTTTTAGGAAGTGTTATTACACTTGTCACCCTCCAATCTGAAGCTGATCCAAATTTACAGAATTTTGAAACATAACATCGAATGCATCCACTGTTTGCACGGCACCACCTTTAGTGCCCTGCAATATGGATGATCAAATATGTAAATTTAATTCTGTTGGACGTATAAATGCTCTTTTCTTTATTAAGAAAGTACAAACCTGGACATAGAGCAAGTTCAATTGCACTGGATCTCTTGAATCAACATTTTGATCTGAATAGAAGAACTTTCGCCTGAGAAGCAAGGTTTCATTTTCATCGACACCCTGTTCACGAAGTGTTCTACCATGGTCCAACCAGTTTACTGGAGGATACAAAGAATACAGGGTCACTAATGCCATCCTGAGGTGCTTAGATATTACTGTATCTTCTATTTTAAAACTCTTTCTCAACATTCTAAGCTCTTCACCAAATTTAATGCTATAGACGTCAGCTGTGTGCGCCAGCAACCTACATCTCACTCATCCAAAGTGACCATCCTTTATGTATGAGGCAAAAGTATGCTCGATCATTCAGCCACAGCCACGAGCAGCATTTCATCTTCATTTCATTTGGCCACAAATACACACTTTTGTTGGAAAGCAACTTGGGTACAGGAACACGGTGATTTCTCTTGACCCTCACGGTCAGGAACACAAATAACCTATTGCTACTCTGGCCAAAATGAACTAACCCAGTATAGATTGAATCTAAGGATATTGCAATACTGCATGGCTCAAGTCCTGACCAAGTAGTGCATTTATCAACTCATTTGATCAAAAGACTTGGAGAGACCAAAACAAAACTATACTGCATCAAGTGCTTTAAAACTACCCGATTTCCTCCTGCCTGCTCAAAAGGAATTGCATCATTGCTCCTACTCTAAATTTCATGGAATGCTGCTTCACGTTAATTTGCTTCTTGGTTGCAGAATTCATTTCAAACATTGCTTATTTGTTAAATACATGGTCAAAAGTGTAGCTCTGTACCGGAACTGAATTTTGATGGTGTACAAATTAAAAATCAAGTCAATATAAATATTTAATGACAGTACAGCAATCCAAATGGTGTTAGAGAACATTATACAAATAATTACAAAAGATTTTGGTGCAATTTTCTGATTTTCAAAAAGGCACTCACAATCATCATCTGTATGAAGTTTTTGTTTGAGCTTTTCCATTTTCTTATCATCTCTTAACAGGGTTTTGTCTTTTTTCAGAGTCCCTGTCATTTCTTCTTTCTTTTCTTCAACAATTTCATGTACAAGTGAATATTCATCATGATTTGTGATGCCTATTAAAACAAAATCCATTAACTATTGTTTTATTGTAATGTGCAACAGAAAATGAAAAAGAGATAACTGAACACCAACAGCAGCAGAGTTAGTTGGTCAAATCTCCATAAATGAGGTCATGAGGCATGAACCAGTGTCGCAACAAAATTCAATTTGCTCTCCAAGTAACATCTTCATTTGTTGGATAGAGCTGTTTTGTGGTTTAATTGAATAGAAACTTAAACAGATATACCTTATATAACTATAATTTACTTCACATCTACTAGAAGCCAACACTCAAACCATAAATTACAGTCATTAACCACAGAAAACACCGAATTCTGTAATTTTGCTCCAATGCAAGTGCACGAACTGTTACAATTAACCACAGGAACGTCATGGGGACCTCAAGGAACATACAGGAATTAATGATGAAGGAAAGTAGCTGAATATAAAATAATGAAGTTTGGCCATGTAATACCATATTAAATACAGCACCAGTTAACAGATTAGGTACAAAGCTGTGTTGAAGAGAGAGGCCTCCATTCTTAACGGCAAAAGCCAAGTTTAAATTGTTCTGGTCTTTACAAAAAGGAATCAGGCTTGAGGAACAGACGTGCCAGTAATGTTGGCTTCAATACTTTAACAACAAAATGAATTCAGCATCATTAAGTTTTCAACCACTTTTACTTCCAATTCAGTATAAAGTAAGAAAAGGTTTTAATATTTTAGTCAATTTTTACTTTTCAAAAAAAATTTGATAACTCATTTGTGATTTATCCTATAAAGTGCCATTTTTCAGGCACAGAGAGAGCCTAATGGCAATTTACAGTTTGATATTTCTGGGATATATTTCTTCTCCCACCTCAAAGTGACTGATATGATGTTCATTAAAAGGCTGGGACTTGCACGTTATTGGAAGTGAGCCCAGATGGTTCAATAATTTCACAGACACAATCAACTCGAAGTACACTTATTTCTTCATGCAGGTGATGGACTGCTATATAAGGAGCTGCACTTTATTGATGGAAATACCAAGGTTCAGCAGAGACTATACTGTCTCTATAACACGTGAAAAGGCACAGCATAGTCTTGGATGGCTGCCAAGTCAAGTCCGTTTTGGATTCCATCAATACACACAGAGGAGGTTGGTAATAAGGTGGCTGGACAACATGTATCAATACAAAGACCATCTAATATTCTTCCTTCAGTGAGCATTAGAATGCTGGATCTCATTTATACCTCTCAGAAGGTATACACTGAGCACAATCTAACCATTAACTAGTTCTTTGCCAAATAGATTAACCCAAGTGCTTCCTTTATGACTACATGAGCAAATGGAGCATAAAAACACATAGCTGATGGTTGTGAAAGAAACATCAGGACTATAGAAACATATCACTAAGTAATGTAGTTATTGGAATTTGCTAATCATAACTGACAAGCTGTTCATAACTGGCTGATACACAAAAGGGCAGAGCATTGTTCATGTGAAGTTTAAGGCATAATTCAGAAATCCTTTACCCCACAGGGTGTGGAACCCACTAGCGTGAAGGATCTCAGAAATTCACTGTTCCATAAGATTAGGGTGACAAGGAGGGAAAGGTGCACAGTGGAGTGAGGGAAAGGCAGAGATTATAATGCGTATGGATCTCACCAATTCTGGCACAGATTGTCATCAGCATGTCGCTCACTATTTTTGAGTCATCTACCATAACTGTTTTGATACTTCCGTCCAACATCCTGATCTTCAGAGGCCTTTGCTTCCTCTTGTAGTCCAGCGTATCCTTGGATTAAAACAAAAGGAGAAGCGATTTGCAACTCAGCACTAAGATCTGACAACCTTCCCCATACGGCTGATTGAATTAACATATTTTATGTTCAAACATCCTTCCAAAAGACTGGACATTGTAACAGTACATTGACACGGAGACAACTGTGAATCAAAGAGCAGCTTGAAAGTTTTGTTGTGCAGTAGGAAACACACCTGCCTCTGAATTAGCAGATCCAAATTCAAGTCACACTCTGATGTGCAAGCAAAGTGCTATTAAAACATGCTTAAATCTTCCTACATATGCCAATGGCAAGCACCAAGAACAGGAGAAAATCATGGTCAAGGATAGAAATAAAATTTGAGATTCTAGTATCACTCTTTACAGGTCAAGACAAAGACAAGCAGACATTGCTCAGGCTCCTTGGAAGAAACATACAGGAAACAGAGGCTTGGATAGACCAGATGTGGAGATTTTTCCATTAGTAGGAGAGAGTAGGACCTGAGGGCACAGCCTTAGAGTGAAGGGACAACCTTTTAGAACGGAGATGAAGAGGAATTTCTTCAGCCAGAGGGTGGTGAATCTGTGCAACTCATTGCTGAAGGCTATGGTGGCCAAGTCATTGAGTGTATTTAAGACAGACATAGATAGGTTCTTGATTTAAGGGGATCAATAGTTACAGCGAGAAGGCAGGGAATTAGAATTCAGAAATGTAGTACACATGATCGAGTGGTGAAATAGACTTAATTGGGCAAATGACCTAAAGCTGCTGCTCTATCTTGTGGTCTGCTTTAGACAATTGAGTGCTGGCCACCACAGATCATATTGGTACCAACAGTAAAGGATTGAATCCCATTTCCAGTTGGGCTGAACTTGAGACCTGGTGGAGGTCATGGTGCATTGGGCCAGCCCTGCCTTTGGGTAGAGGACCAAAGAAAATGTAATAGATTATTGGCCACATTTTGTTTTGTGCATTAACTATATCTCCTTGCAGAAACCAATTGCTGTTTCATGGACAGGAATAAAAAGCCAATGTGAGCCACGGTGCTCACAGCATTGCTTAGAAAGTAACACTGTGCTCTGGCAACTGAACAGAACTTTAAAATCTTCCAGTATGATCTCAGTCAAGTGTCAACTGCCTCATTTATGTTAAAACAACCTACAAAATGTGATACTCTCAAAAGGTGATTAAGCAGCATTGCAATTCCAAAACAAAACCTCGATGAAAGGGTGTCATTTTAAACAAAACAGAATTCCATTAATCGCGCATGAATCTAAAAGTCAGTTAACTTAGTATACCTAAAAAGGGGAATGGTTAATAAGGTATAAAGAGCAAAACAGTAAACTTACCCCATTCCTCAACATGTAGTAATCCAAGGCTTTGCCAGACTCCAACCAGATCCCCTTCTTTGGGTCTTCATCGGACAGAAACAATCCGTAATCAGTGGCTGCAAGACAATGAAAAATTACTTTTTAAACAACAATTCCAATGACCTCCATCACTGAGAAGGGCAAAAGCAGGAGATACATAGAACACAACCACTTGCAAACAGCCTTCAAGCTACTCACCATCCTGACTTGGAACAATGTCACCTTTGTTTCAGTGTCACTGGATCAAAATCCCAGAATCTCTCTCTAACAGCACTTTGAGCAAACCAACATCCTACGGACTGCAGCAATTCAAGACAGTGGTTCACCATCTTCTCAATGGTAATTAGGACAATAAAGTCTGGCTTTGACACTGGCATTCACGTCCCGTGAATGTATTTCCTGAGCACTAGACCAATCCAGTATCTTGGACTAATCACAGATACAATCATATTTTGGTTATCTTACTGGATGGGTATTCCAGAGGTCTCAACTAATAACTTGAAGAAGTGAATTAAAATCCCACTATGGCAGTTCATGAAGTTGAATTCAGTTAATCTAGTTAATGCAGAATAAAATGTTAGTCCAAGCAACAGTGACTTTGAAACTACAGGATTGAGACAATTTCAAGTTGGTTTTCTAATGTCCTTGAAGAAAAACAACATCCCTACCCAGTGTGGCTGCTAAGAAAATTGAGGACCAACAATATGTTGAGGACCTGAACAGGCCTCTGAAATGATCTAGAAAGTTTTTCAATTTTAATAAACCACTACAAATAAACAGATGATACACCAACATTCTTTTCCCAGCATACCTTCACTATATAACTGCAGTGGTTCAAGGCAATAGCTCACCACCTTTGTAGGTAAGCTTCAGGATGGACAATAAATGAGGTAATCTGGGCACCGCAACTCAGGAAGCACATATTGGCCACGGAGGGAGGACAACATAGGTTTATAAGACTGTTAACTGGACTTCAAGGGTTAAGTTTAAGGAAAGATTAAACAAATTAGGCCTGTTTTCTTTAGAAGTTAGAAGGCTAAGGGTGAACCAATCGAAATCTTCAAAATATTGGTATGCGTGCCTTCATTGCTCAGTCTTTTGAGTATAGGAGTTGGGAAGTCATGGTGAGGCTGTATTGGAGGTTGGTGAGACCTCTTCTGGAATACTGTGTCCTATTCTGATCACCCAGTTATAGTAAGGATATTATTCAGCTGCAGAGGACTCAGAAGAGATTTACCAGGATGTTGCCGGCTATGGAAGGTTTGAGTTATAAAGAAAGGCTGGTTAGGCTGCAACTATTTTCATTGGTGCAAAGGAGATTGAGAGGTGACCTGAAAGAAGTTTATAAAATAATGAGGGGTATAGATAGAGTTAATTGTAGTTGTCTTTTTCCTAGGAGGGGGGATTTCAAGACTAGGGGACACATTTTTAAGGTTAGAGGAGAAAGATTTTAAAAAGACACGAGGGGCAATTTTTTCTTCTACGCAGAGCACTGTTCACATGTGGAAGGAACTTCCTGAGGAAGTGGTGGATGTGGGTACAATTACAACATTTAAAAGACATTTGGGAAAGTAAATGATAGGAAAGGTTTGGAGGGACATAGGCCAGGAGCAGGCAGGTGGGTCTACCCGTTTCCGTGCTGTATGACTCTAAGACTCTATATTATCTACTGTGTTTTTTCCTGTTAAAGATCAACAATTACAAACTGATTGTGTATTCTAGAACTAGGGGCACAGTCTAGAAATTAGGGCCAGACGGCAGTAGAATCAGAACCCCTATAGTGTGGAAGGAGGCCAGTAAGTCCATCAAAGCCACACTGACCCTCCAAAGAGCATCCTACCCAGACCCACACTGCCTCCATTCAGGAGAGATGTTTGAGGTGAGAGGGGAAAGATTTAAAAAGGGACCTAAGGGGCAACTTTTTCATGCACAGGGTCGTGTGTGTGCACGGAACCAGCTGCCAGAGGAAGTGGAGGAAGTTGGTACACTTACAACATTTAAAAGGCATCTAGATGGGTATATAAATAGGAAGGGGTTTAGAGGGATATGGGCCAAACACAGGCAAATGGAACTAGATTAATTTAGTATATCTGGTTGGCATGGGCAAGTTGGGCCAAACGGTCTGTTTCCAAACAGGAGGTTGGAAGAACACAGCAGGCCAGGCAGCAGCTGGAGGAAAAGAGCAGTCAACATTTCGGGTATTACCCTTCTTCAGGGAGGGACAGCCAGCAGGACCTGAAGAAGGGTAATACCTTGAACGCTGACTGCTCCTTTTCTTCCAGATGCTGCCTGGCTTGCTGTGTTCTTCCAACCTCCTATTTGTCTGCCTTGGATTCCAGCATCTGCAGCTTTTTTGTCTTTATCTAAATCTGTTTCCAAGCTGGATATCTCTATGACTGTATGTTAGGAAACACTTCCATACACAAAGGGTGGTAGATGTTTGGGACGCTCTTCCACAAATGGCAGTGGATGCTGGATCAGTTAACTTTAAATCTGAAATTAAAAAAAAAACTGCTTGTTAAGCAAATGTATAGAGGCACAGGGGCTAAAGGCAGGTACATTGAGTTAGGCCACAGAACAGCCATGATCACATTGAATGGCAGAACAGGCTCGAGGGCCTGAATGCCCTAATCCTGTTTCAAAATTACCCCATTAGAAGTGACTTGGTCAAGTTATTAGCATTTTAAGTAGCCACAGAGTTGAAGCTACATCAATATTATTGTGAGGAGCCCTGCAATAACTGCATTCTAACTTATCAACATATATCCCATTTGGTGCCTCTTCACCTGGTCAGAAGTATTTTTGCTCAGCTAGTCAGTGATCCAGTGTTTGTTTTTCTAGCTCAACTTTCTTAACTTTATTTTTAAACTGGACTATAAACTATCTGAAACAAAATCTGCCCAACAACTATTTTCAAAACTAATTAATGTTTACTAAGACAAATGTTAGGATCCTAAGTAATCGGTACCCAGGAATTGCTTACAAATATTCCCATGTTATTAACTAAGAGAGAATGCAAATAATTTGCTCCTAGTCACTGACAACAATACTCTGCCATATGTGATGCCACGTTAGGATCTACTGTCACAGAGCCTCCGATTTCCCTCCTTTGCAGTGAATGCAAACAGCAATGCATTCCACTGTTTCAGAACAGCTAAGATCAGGAACCTTAACATAGGCAGAAGGCACAAACTTACCTCCTTTACCTTTTTTTGGGGAATAAAAATCAGGAAGTGTTCCTGTGACAATATGTCAATTTCTAAAATATGCCCTTCTCTCTGGACACATCATTCCCTTCCCATGCCTAATCTGGTGACTTTGTGGATCTCTCTCATCTTTAGTTATATATGGAAGGCAGCCAAAACAGAAATCAATACAAACTTTAAAAACAAATTCCCATCATATAAAGAGATCAGGCATCACAATGAATTGCTCTCCCATCAACCTCTTGATAAAACTGCTACATTTCTATTCAGTTTACATTTTACTAAATATGATTTCAAACTAAGTGAAATGCTTAATTATGCATTCGCTATGGTAGCTGAACCCCTTAATGTTCCAAAACCATCAACTCAGCGTTAGACTTAAAATAAAAGCATGTTGCACAGATTTGATTCATTCAACTGTAATAATGAAAGTGAATGAATGGGACAAAAACAAAATTGCTGGAAAAGCTCAGCAGGTCTGGCAGCATCTGAGAAGGAAAAAAGAGTTAATGTTTCGGGTCCAGACAACATTGGTTACTAATTTTTTTAGTACAACCTGTTGATAACTACATCTGGTGACAAATATATTTTGCATAATTTTTTTCCACAGGTATACCTGGTTGCTTAAACAAGTAATAAAATGCACTTTGGATCACAGAATCCCTACAGTGTAGAAACAGGGCCTTTGGCCCAACAAGTCCACACCGACTCTCAGAGCATCCCACTCAGACCCATCCCTCTAATCTACACATCCCTGAATACTATGGGCAATTTAGCACGGCCAATCCACGCAGCCTGCACATCTTTGGATTGTGGGAGGAAACCCACGCAGACACGGGGAGAATGTGCAAACTCCACACAGACAGTGCCCGAGGGTGGAGTCGAACCCGGGTCCCTGGCGCTGTGAGGCAGCAGTGCTAACCACTGAGCCACCATGCCGCCCCCAAATTCTTCCCTCAAAGAACCAGCAATTTGCAATGCCTTATCATATTATACCATAGTACACCTCTAACTATCGATCATCATAGAGTCATTGAGCTGTATAGCACAGAAGCAGACCCTTCGGTCCAACTCGTCCATGCCAACTAGATATTCTTAATTAATCCAGTCCCATTTGCCAGCATTTGGCCCATATCCCTCAAACCCTCCCGATTCATATACCCATCCAGATGCCTTTTAAATGTTACAATTGCACCAGCCTCCCCCACTTCCTTGGGCAGCTCATTCCATGCACACAGCACTCTCTGCATGAAAACGTTGCCCCTCAGGTCCCTTTCATATCTTTCACCTCTCAACGTAAATCTATGCCCTCTAGTTTTGGACTCCCCTACACTGGGGAAAAGACCTTGGCTCTTTACATAATCCTATCACAGACGTAGACATTAAATCATGTTGAATTTTGAAGAATTTTTTTGGTGAACAATTGATCGCATCAGTTTTTTTACATTTTCTAAACAATGGTGTCAACTGGCCAGGAAGGAATAGTTCCGACTTACGCTGTCCCATCTGTGCTTCAGGAACCCGATCACGAATCATTCGACAGGCATCGTACACCATTGTCGAGGGTTCAAATTGCATAGTTTTGATAGCATTCCCAACTCCAATCTTCAACGATAAGACAACCATTCTGTCTTCTTTCACTGTATAAGCTCAACTGGAAAAACAAAAAGACGGACAATTCTAGTAACTGTTACACTTTTTGTCCATGGAACACAAATTTCATCAATAAATTGAGTTCTTTATCTTAAGAGGCAGACTTTACGTCTGTACTTTGGGTCAAACAGATTTCACAGTGAATCGGAAGTAATCAAATTTCGTGGTGTTCTGTTTTCCACAATACTAAATCATCCTATTAACTCAACTGTTGTAAAAAAGTTTAACCTTAAGCAATATGCTGTAAAATGCCATAAACAGCAATGCACTTCACTTGGGGTTTTAAAAGCCACAATGAAAAAGACCTCCAGTCAAGTACTGCTCCTGCTGAGTCTTTTGCAAACAGTACTGAATTGGGCTTGATAAAATGCAGGATTTAAAATGTACATATTGCATTTATATTCTTCAATGAAACAACACAAAGTATTCCTATTTCCAGACAAAACCCTAACTTTCATTATTGGCGATTGTTGCATTAATTTTAGGGATGGGCAAGAAATGCTGACCAGCCAACGACAGCCACATCCCACAAATGAATAGAAAAAAAAAATTGATTTTCACTAGACTGAAAAATATTTCAATAGTCCAAAGTAACCTGTTACTTCAAATTCATGCACTGCATGCTAGACAGAAGCACTAGAGTATCAACACCTCTGTTAATCATAAGTTTGATGCTACTTGATATCAAACTTTAAGGTGATACACCTGGGAACTTCTTATACAGTCAGTTCACAACACGCTCAAAGCACAGAGCAGAGTTGAACGTCCTTCAGAATATTTAAATATCTTTTCTGTAATTACTGTACATTCTTTTGTCACAGCACTGGCCTTTGGTTTTACACAACTTGCCCCCTCCCCCACTTCTCTCCACCACCAATTCCTCCTCACATTAGGATAATCAATTTCCAAGTACTTGTGATGCAACACCCCATAGAGATATATTTGAAGTTTGCAATTTGCAAACATCACAGCAACTTATGCAAGTGAACGTTAAAAAGAGTAGACAGATGTGCTAAATTATGTCAAATATTTTGGATCAATTGATCCACATTGCTGCTAATTGGGAAAAGGCTCATACAATACATAATTTGAAGTCAGAGACAAAAAGTTACTTACTTTTGAAACGAACGCTCACAAAACAATTCTTGTTAAAGCAGCTACACAGGGGAATGCTATCTATTTACTGTGAAGTTAAGTGATCATTACATAAAAGAAACTAGCTGACAGTTGCCAAGAAAGTCTGTGAAAATAATTGTATTAGAAGGAAAATGTACTGTACTGCTATCCGTCAAGTCATCTGTACCGTTAGTGGTAATAAAGGAATGTCTATTTGAGGATCAGGCTAGCAGGAGTCCATTTATTTTTAACTAAACTGCTTTTGTGGTTACAACATAGACATAAATAATATCATCAAAATAGGAAAGGTTATGATGATCAAAAATTTCTGTTGCTGATCAAAATGTACAGAATAATAATTATGGTCATAATATTAAATTGTTTTTAATATTAAAGAACAGTTGTTAAATTGTTCACATACATCAGTTTAAATGAACAAAATTATGTATTGGGAAATGTAGTTTATTTTACGATAATTGAGAGTCCCATGAAAGAGTAGGGAATGACTGATTAGCTGCACACTACACAGGATGTATTATGAAACCTGTACAGGAAGTGGTTTCTGTGCAACAGTAAACAGAGGACTTGTCTGCAGAGACACAATGAAACTTGTATTTACAATCTTGAGTCAGTAAACTTGGTACAGCAATTACTGGGAAAGTAGGAGCATAAAGTGGAGGCCACATGGCCCTCATCTGAAAGGGAGTGGAAAATAAATTGGCGGGGAAATTTGCTAGAGCTACTTGGGAGAATTTAAACTTGGAGGGGAAGGGGTGGGACCCAGAGAGACAGTGAGGAAAGACAGCAGTCTGAAACTGATACAGTTCTGAAAAGGAGTAAGTCAAACAGTCAGCAGCACAGCAGAGAACGAGGTAGAACTGATGCACTAAAATAAATGCAGTTTAATGTAAGAGGCCTAACAGACAAGGCAAATGAACTTGTCATGGTTGGGAACATGGGACTGGGAATCATAGCAATTGCAGAGACCTGGCTCAGGAATGGACAGGACCGGCAGTTTAATGTTCCAGGGTATAGATGCTATAGGAAGGATAAAAGGGGGAGCAAGAGAGAGGAGGGTGGAGTGGCGTTTTGGATTAAGGATAACATTACGGTTGTACTTAGGGAAGATATTCCTGGGAATATGTCCAGGGAAGTTATTTGGGTGGAACTGAGAAATAAGAAAGGGAAAACCACCTTCTTGGGATTTTAATATATACCCTCCAATAATCATTGGGAAATTGAGAAACAAATTTATAAAGGTCCCAGTTATCTATGAGAATAATAGGTAGTTATGGTAGGGGATTTTAATTTTCCAAACACAGACTGAGCCTGCCATAGTGTTAAGGGCTTGAATGGAGAGGAATTTGTTAAGTGTGTACAAGAAAATTCTCTGATTCAGTGTGTGGATGTACCTCCTAGAAGTGGTGTAAAACTTGACCTACTCTTGGGAAATAAGGCAGGGCAGGTGCCGGAGGTGTCAGTGGGGGAACACTTTGGGGCCAGTGACCATAATTTGATTAGATTTAAAATAGTGATGGAAAAGGATAGACCGGATTTAAAAGTTAAAGTTTTAATTGGAGGAAGACCAATTTTGACAGTATTAGGCAAGAACTTTCAAAAGTTGATGGGGGGGGGTGGGAAATGGTGGTGAGGACAGATGTTCACAGGTCAAAGGACGGCTGGAAAATGAGAAGCAATGAGATGAGAGTTCAGAGACAGTATGTTCCTGTTGGGGTGAAGGGCAAGGCTGGTAGTTGTAGACAATGCTAGATTACTACAGAAATTGAGGATTTGGTCAAGATAAAGAAGGAAATATATGTCAGGAATAGACAGCAGAAATCGAGTGAATCCCTCGAAGAGTATAAAGACAGTAGGAGTATACTCGAGGGAAATCAGGAGGGCAAAAAGGGGACACGACATAGCCTTGGCAAATAGGGTTAAGGAGAATCCAAAGGGATTCTACAAATACATTAAGGACAAAAGGGTAACTGGGGAGAGAATAGGGCTTCTTAAAGATCAGCAAAGCCACCTACATGTGGAACCGTGGGAGATGAGAGGAGATATTAAATGAGAATTTTGTATCAGTGTTTGCTGTGGAGAATCATATGGAAGATAGAGAATGTGGGGAAATAGATAGCAATGTTTTGAAAAATGTCCATATTACAGAGGTGGTGGTGCTGGATGCCTTAAAACGCATAAAAGTGGATAAATTTCTGGTACCTGATCAGGTGCACCCTAGAACTCAGAAGTTAGGGAAGTGATTGCTCAGCCCCTTGCTGAGATACTTGTTTCATCGATAGCCACCAGTGAGGTGCTGCAAGACTGGAGGTTGGCTAACATGGTGCCACTATTTAGGAAAGGTGGTAAGGAAAAGCCAGAGAACTATAGACTGATGAGCCTGACATCAGTGGTGGGCAAGTTATTGGAGGGAATCCTGAGGGACAGGATTTACATATATTTGGAAAGGCAAAGACTGGTTAGGGATAGTCAACATGACTGTGCATGGGAAATAGTGTTTCATTAACTTGATTGAGTTTTTTGAAGAAATAACGAAGAGGATTGATGAGGCAGAGCAGTGGATGTGATATATGGACTTCAGTAAGGCGTTCAACAAGGTTCATCATGGTAGACCGGTAGATCACATGGAATACAGGGATAACTAGC